GAGTTCGTGAACATGCATTTGCTAATCAGCAATGAGACGAAACAGGATTGGTCTCCGGCCTTAAAAAACAACTAATCGATTACGCTTGATAGTAATTATGCAGTAGTCTTTGATAGTTCCTAGGCTGCTTCTGCTGTATCTTCGGGCTTTCAACGATTGGGACACGAACATTCAATTGCGTTTGCTCGTTAGCTCATGTCCATCATGCTAAGCACTATAATATAAAGTCTACGAATAAAATGCTTATAGAAAATCGGCTGATTAGGCGATCCATTTCAGGGACCCTTGTCTCTTATGTTTGTATGCTGAACGCTGCAGCCATTATTAGACAAACAAAGCCTATTCAGTAATTTGATTTAGTCTGGAACATAGCCATTGATTACTGTTTCTATACGTAGGCTCTGTGGGATTAAGCTCCTCGTCTTTCATCCCATAATCGCTTCTTTTAAAATGCCTCAGCATGTGACGGCTGTATAGGAACACCAGCAATGGCAGCAAAACTGGTGCGACGCCTTAGATGATCCGTTTTTCTGTGGTCGGCAGATATCCACGAATCGTCGAATGATCTGGCCGAAAGGGGTTCGCGTCCTCCACAGTGGCTTACCACCTGCGAGGTGCTTCATGCATGACGAGCTAATATCCTTTACTCTAGACCCCATCGATGCTCGTCTCGTGCCGTTTGGAAATTCCAGTACTGTTTGTTTTGTACACTACGTTGTGATGTATATAATGTACGTATATACAACGTACATACTCAAAGGGGGACCACTCAATGCACGGGAGGGTAGTATGGTTGAGAAGTTGGTCAAACTTGTAGAAACGAACAAGGCTATGCTTATAATTCGTTCTCTGCTTTAGTTACGCAAATAATTTCGTCGATTCCAATGTGCTTAGTTTGGTTTGAAACTACCGGAAGCAGGCTGTATTAGGTTAGTGATATAACCCATAAATATGTTTTAGGTTTCCTTCGGTGTCCACCAATCCCCTTATGGCTAAGAAGTGAGCTAGTAAAATTATGAGCAGACGAATTCAATGGCTATTAAACGTTGTTGCCGTTACACGACTGAACGCTTGACAGAACAACTAAAGGGTCAGTTTAAAGAGTTGGAGTCTACCAATAACCGTCGGGTATATTTTTGCAGAATAGGATTTGGCGTTATCTCAAATAAAATTTAGCTGAAAATAGTGAGGGTGCATTGATTTTATCATGTACTTCAAGGAAGAACAATCTTCATTCGTGCATATATAACGTATTTTAGACGTCACTTAGCGGAGCCTAACATAGAGAAAAGCAGGACAAGAGTCCCTTTTCAATTTCGTGTTTTCAGGTCGTCGAGCAGTAATGTGGCTTTTCATCACTTTGACGGAACAGTTTTAAGACCATAGAGTGTGAAAGGGTTACTGACAGGTCTACTTAAAAATGAGCTCGCCATATCCCAGGTGCAATGCCGTTTGCATAGCTCAGGTACAATGTGCTTAAAATACCTTCTACGAATGACCTAAAGTCTCTATAAATACTAAACATTAATTGAATTGCCTTAGATTAAATTGAGCGCGCTGGGCGGAGGCCGCGTCTTCTACAGCCGACGTCAGGCCAACAAGCAGTCTCTAAGATAATTATCTCTAAGCGGCCTTGATCCCGAACCGGAAAACAGCAAGTTGTTAGATAAGAAGGCAGACCGATCGGAGCTATTGAGTAGATGCTGGGCAGGGCAACGGGAAAGCACATTTAAGTTGTTTTTAAAACGGAATTAATTAATTTTATTGCGTTGTTGTTTGACGAAGTCTAATGAGTGGCCCGTTCTTTTAAACGATATAGATACTTCATGCTCTATGGCTTCTTCATAAAAGCTCCGTACAAATATTAAGCCTAAAGATCCTAATAATGGCTTAAAAATTGTAAGTTACGTACAGTTACTGCGACATTGGTTGGAGTGATCAACTATTATTCTGTCCCGCTTGGCTGCTATTCTTAATTTCGCTCTAAGTACTGTTGATGTTATCACTGCTGGAGCCAGTATAAACCAGCTTCCATAATTGGCAGGAAATACAAAGCCAATAATCTCCAACTGCTGAATATAATCCGATTCCTATTAGACCAATTATAAGCCTAAGTCTCCTAAATAATATCACGAAAAGTGGCACAAAATCTACAGCGGATATGAACAAGTATCAGTACCATAGAGACTAGTAGTATGAGTAACAGATAAAATCATGACAACCGTTGGTCACCTTATTCGAACACTTATTAAGGCTACACCAAATATACGACCTACTTTCCGATTTACCTGGGTGCCACCAGTACAATTGTAATTAAGTTAGAACATTAAAGATCAACGAGTACCATCGCTCAAGACGTAATGGGCGCCTACTTTTTGACCTTATGATCGTCGTGAGAGTAACTTTGGCAGTAAATGACTGCAAAAATGCATAGCAGGAATAAAAGAAAAGCTCAAAAAGCATACACGTTTCGTAAGCCTGCGCAACGACAGAAGGCACGAGCTACCCTCTGAACAAAGCAGAATGTTCAAATCCGGCTGGTTGAAACTTGCGAGTATCGCGACGCAAGTTGATAGGCGTTCCCTGTTGAATTTGCTAAAACAAAGTTGCGATATCTGCAAGGTTTCTATCAGGGCATGTCAAGTCTGAAGCGCAATGTTGGCCTGTTTCTATGCGTTGCTGAATTAGATAAACGGAGCTCCTTGTCGCTACCCTGAACGAAACTATTCTAGTTCCACATTATTGAGTCTTAAGCTAGCTATATGTGGTTTGCATCGTGCAGCAGATTAATAGGAGCGCTGATTTCCTACGACATTAAACCACGCAGCCTCGAAACCATAGAACAATAACCATTACGGCCTTATAGTGTAATAGAAGTATTTCATGGAAAAGTCCCTTCCACCGCTTAGCGCCGTCAGGCCAGCGACACAGTGAAAAGATCTTTCCTATTTTCCATGGTTGATAGCTCCGAAACCAGTCTATTCAAGAACCTGAAAAACGAAGATCCTCTAAAGAACTTACTTCTATCGTTTGCTTATGTGTTCACGTCAACGGCGAGCGAGTTAGTCCAGGGCACGATATGTAATGGTTGGGCGGATGAATCTGTATATGTATATTTACATACATATGGATATGTTTGTAAAGAATGATGATGAAAAAACACAGGACTTATTCGTCCTTATATGGTAGACCTTTTACTCAAATCCAACTATAACCTCACCATTTGCGACTATCGATGCGCTACACTTTCATATAAATTGAATTTCCGTCAGAGATGCGTGGCAGTGTCCATACAGAAGAATATATCGCGAACAAGTATTACTAAAATGTCTACTCCAATATTATGCAAAAAGACAAAAAGCGTCTATACAATATTCTTTTGCCGTACAGCAAAAAGGCATCTAACTACTAGCCCAAGTATTTATTTCAGTGAATTAATTTACAAATTATATTCCATTCTCGTTTAAGTCTAAACGTATATGCGGGTATATTTACGTATACAGTATTATATGTCATCTGTTACTCCCGTTTCTCTTTTGAACTACGTTCTGCTACTTTAGCTATAGAACTGTTCGTTTCGGGCCTCCCGGTATGGAGGCCAGTGGTTTGTGTTTTTGTGAGGTGCGCACGTCCATATAATTAGTGGTACATACTGCTCATAAGACTATCATCAAACTAAAAGAGTGACGAAGTGAACTATGGTCCAAGATGGATGGATGGATGCTGCCATAAGATACTGCACGGCTGGCCTTCATTTCCTGATGCGCGGTATTGCTTTTCAATACGATGACTACTAAGGGACGAAAAATATGGGTAAAAGAGAATAAGGGTTTGTGAATTTTGGTCGATTCATATTGTCGAGGGCGTATCTGTGTAACATTTACACGGTCGATTGTCTTTGGATGGCGGTCGTACCAAGCGATGCACGTTACATCTAGCTAGTGCATGAGACCAGACGTGACCTTGGACGACGCACATCTACCCGAAAGGCAGGAACGAAGAGAAAAGGAGAAAGGAAGAGAGTGTAAGGTGAAATTAGAAAGCTCCTCTAGCAATTGTTGAAGCTTCTTTGCTCGCTGTCAGTTTTATTGGGCTACAAAACGACAGATGGTAACGGCTTAGTGCAACAGAAGCTCATGACACCATTACTTACGATTATGTTTAGAGTATACGTAATCGTTATTACACTCAATGATTTGCAATATTTCGTACCCTGTTTTAACCAGAGGAATCATCAGGGCCTTTTTGGTGTTTTTTTTTCACACATCCGCATCCCAGCTTTGCCACCAGGCGTTTCACGTTCAGCTCCGCTACGGGGGATGGGTCCCTAAAACCGTCATCAAACCGGTCGCTTCGGTCTGGCGAAGTTTTTGGATCAGTTTTTCTACGAAGCCCTTGCCAATACCTTTTCAAAGTTCATGTCTAGATTCAGGCTTGAATCGGACGTCGAGAAGCAATCCTTGCGGTGCACTTGTCGCTTGCGCGGGCCACAACAGTGACGTGTCATCTCCAACATACGGAATGTCAGAAATGATTGGGCGCGGGGTGAAAAAACCTCCCTCGATGTGGCGCGGTCAAGTGCAAGGACGCAGAAAATACAGCTTGTTACAAGAAATGTATTTCCGTTTCCGGTGGTAGATCTATAAAACTTCCAAGCAGGCTGGTTAATAGCTCGCTGCCAGAAGCCGAGCTTTCTCGTTGTAGCAACATATAATGTGATATGTATCTATAATAAGGCTTAAAATGACAGCCCCCCAGCTTTTCTGAACCAGCTTGAAAATTTGTCGGATGCTAAAAAAATAGAGAAAATAATGGAAAATTATAGTGTAACACGGGAAACAAGATGATGGGTTTCTTTCTCAGCTAGAATTCATGGGTTCAAGGCTCACAGGGTTACGTTTCCACTGATGTTTTTCTTTTATTATTATTCTGAACGACCTGTCTTATTCTAATCATGTCTAATTCCTAATTTAATTTTACCTAATATTTTTCTGTTTCAGCTAGGTTTGGATAAAGAGTAAGCTGAACGGTGAAGCATCCAAGCTACAGCGATAGTGGCCTGCATTGTTGTAGGGGAGAGATCAAGACTCTCGTCCACGATTGAAGAGTCCACAGTCATAACGCGTCCGTCAAAAGCTACTTACTAATAAGAGCAAGTAGCTTTGCCTGATTATCTTGGTTCGAACTGCCCCGTGCCGCCATCATGAAGCTGCCATTCTTGGAATTTAGTCAACATCCCGAAATATCGGAACGGGTGCGGTACCATATTTCTCAATTGGTCGATTATTTTCATGCCGTGCCTCACGTCGACGTTGGCCTTCAACCCGTCAATGCTACGTTTGATCCGTCAAATAACTACTATCTTGAGGTAGGTAGTATCATAAAATAGAGACTTGTTGATGTGAATAGATAAGGTTAAATACAGAAGTAGCAATGTTTGAGATGCGCTATATGCATTATCCAATGTTTTCTATCTCGGGGCTGTTTACGAATTGGTTCTCTTTGTCCATGAGGCTGAGTCTACATTATACAATACAACTATACCTGTTGGTGGTATGCATACAACCTCTTCACATTGATTTAGTCCTTCTGAAGCTTTGTAGCGTCCCGGGCATCTTGTAGTTGTTAGTGTCCTTCGTATTCGACCCCTCCTATTCTACATCGCAAAATTCCTAAATTATTTTCAAGATTTCGCTGTTACTAACTGCAATGATCACACTAAATACACACATTACGTATTCTATCAAAGGGATTGCCTCGTTCATTACTAGTCAACAACTCGGTTCGATTACCGCTCTGTCAGTTGACAGCGCCTCTATCTACGGGTATCACCACTAACTCGAAACACGTTAGAAATTTTGTCGTCCTTTGGTGAAGCGAGAAAACAAGTATGACTGACAGGTACTGTGAAGTATATCTTTGAAACCGTATACTTCAATCGAAGAGAACTAACAGGGGTCCCTCTGTCAGCGCCAATAGCATTTACTGGAGTGTTCTGATCGTTTTGATTAAACTTGATTTTACATCAATTATGTAAAATCATGCAGATATCTTCTAATGTAACAAAGAAATATATTATTATTCAGCTAATTCGTGTGACGATATTGTTATGAGGTTTACCAAGTCCATCTCGAGGCGGACCTCTTCCTCGCTACGATAATACGAAGCATCGTCGTAAGTCCTACAAGATACATCGAAGCCCTGATACTTGACAGCTGAACAGCTTCCATACGCATTAATTTTCCGTAGTCGAAAGAAATCCGAATGTTGATATATCGTTCTGGTTTAGCCAATACTGGCAAATTTCAGAATTTTGCAGGTGACCCATTGGACGTTGTTAAGAACTGGCAAAAAGCGTCCTTATAAGTAAAAAAGGCTTGATATTTAAAGAAAAAAAAGCCTTGCATTTATGTACGCGTAAAATATCATAAAAGTATCACATGGTATCTCCGTTTGAACAACTGTCGTCTTCCTTAGCCTAGAGACTAAACACGATTAGAATGATGAATGTGGCTTCCGCCTGTTTTATTCTAACTGAAGTTTTTTTTAACAGAAGGTCTAATTGAATCACTTCTAAGTCAGTGATCTCAGCTGAACTGTGTTATCCTTTCTGTTCTGCTGAATGATCCGAAATCCTGTTTCAGACTAATCGCATCTTTTGCGGGAACGTCTGCTCTTTTTCGCGCTTATTTTCACGCAAGCTGGGTGAGACGTTACTGAATCCGTTTTTCAGTTCGATTTCATCGTCCACTGTTACTATATATATGGTAAATCAGGTACTCGGTATTCTGCTAGCCGTTATCATTTTTGAATAATTTAGCCAGTTGCTCGACTGTTAATGCCCAACTATGGTGATACACCCAAAAACTATGTGAGTGCCCTTTCGAGCTATTTGTCTGTTAGTGTTATATGTGGTAGAAAATATTATCTAATGATTGTATTTCTTATAGGACCTTACATTTATCCGATTGAGCCTTTGCCAATTAACAACCCCTTTACACGATCAACATCTACAGCGTAACGTTTTACGAAATGAGGATCCACCTAAAATGGGCAGTGTAAGACGAGATCAGGCGAACTAACCTGGCTTCTATCTCTTTGTTTAATATCAGCTTTGTTTAATCTCCCAGACAACTCTCAGAAAGGAACACTTATCCAGATACACTAGCCAGCTATGTCTTAGTGAGTTCTAAATGCGTAATCCTGGTTTTGAATAAGTTGTAGTAGTTGAATAAGTTTATGTGGGATACATAAAATAGTCTAAAAGTCCTGGTCTGAAATTAAGCCAAAAGCAAATGGCTCAGTAATTTTGTGCTGGGAGTCAGCAATCTGCAGGAATGCTTAACGGCAGTGCTGGACGTATATATAAACATACATTACAAACAACCGTTTGTATCGGAAAACCCCCTTATCTTAGTTTCTATCATATTGCTCTATGCACTCACTAAGAGCAACAGATATTATTACTACCAGACAAAACGCACAATATTCAGTCACATTCTTAAAGGAACATTTGTCTGTTTCAGCGGCTTGCCTGTGTGTGAATCAGGGAGCGCTGGCTACCGTTGGCATTTATCCGCCTATTTCTAGCCTTAGATTCACACGCGTTGACGTGTATCTTCTAGGTTCATTCATAGTGTAACAATCCACTCTCCCACGTACTAGAGGTAGGTTAACACTTTCACCAAGTACAGGCTTATCTTCACAGTCGGTCAAGACGTATATTTCTAGCGTAATCATAGTATCGTTAGCATATTAAATACTATCGGGAACAACGTTGAAGTTGTTTTCCTCCTATATAGACAGACGCTACGTGATTCTCCTAGTGCCGGATGCGCTTGGTGCCTATCTTTGGACCACAAGGTTCCTCAATGTCTTGGAAGTCCTCCTGCTGTCAACTATGAGTGCCTCTTCTATCCATAGACAGGGTTCCGCATAATAGGGCGTTACACTAGCACTATCGTTGACTAATAATACACGTTTGTTTATGATCACAACTGTAGTATAACAATAATCTTTGAGCGATAAGAAACTGGGTCGAAGGAATCCACAGGAATTAAAGCAGATTTTCTATCCGACTCCTGCAGTCGACTCAAGTACTATCCCAACAGTGTTGTTATAGAATAAACTCGAAATAATAACAGCACTATGGCTCGCTGGCTCCGTTTATCGGCTCATTACCAGACAAAATGCCCTAGAACCAATATATCACGAAGGGAATCAAGTACCAATCGTTTGGACACGTCTTTTAATATTCTGATTACGTTACGTTCCGTTCGGGCTACTTCTGGCGCTCTGAATCATCGTTGGTCGAACGTGCTTTGCTTGCTCGTCTGTTATTGATAGTTACTATAGTACGAATAAAACAGAGCGTCTGCACTATTCTATGTATCAGTCTCTGTCATAGGCTGTACACGATTATAGACTAGCCTGCGGCTGGGTCTAGGCCAGGCCAATTCCCAATCAAGTTTATTGCCCATTCTGGTCTGCCATCTACTTACTCGAGTCATTGTTGTTTTTTGCTTGCTTATAAGCAACTTATTACCTCTGAGGCAAGCGCAGGTACCGATTTGTCAGAGAAATACATGCGGATTGAACTATACTAACAAATCTAAGGCCGCTACATGCAAATTCTGAAAAGTCGCTAAACAGGAGCTACAGGCAAAACGCGAAGGCAATTCTGCTCGTCGATGATCGTTGACGAGTAGAGTCGAAACAGGCATTTTCAAGCAAATTATATATGTAGATATATACGGTGATCTACTGAGAAGTTGTGTGGTCTCTGGGGATGAGCAAGTAACGAACTGGTTTCCCGATTACTGTGAATTATTTGAGGTAAGCGTTACTGTAAGCGGTAATATGACGATTGACATATAACAAGGTTCATAAACGAAACCGCTATTCAATACCTTGAATGTATCGTTTGATCGATCCATTCAAGATGGAGGGACATAACTGCAACATGTCGACATCTAGCCAATGCCGAAAGAAAGTGTCAAACGCCCTGTTATCAAGCGTAATGATCCAGCTTTAACATATATTAATTCTATAATATGACGAATATTTATACCTTATTTTTGAAACTTTCATCTCAAATCTGCTCGTTTTCTTACTAAGGTCAAACGGTTCGGCAAAACGGCCTGCTATGCAACAGGCTCGTGCGACAAAGTCTGACGAACTTTTGTCCACTCTTCAGTTCCACCCTGTTTAGCTGTAACGAAGCGATTAAATTTAGCTTCTTGGCAAAATTAGCCTTCCACCTTATGCAGTTACAGTCAATCTAGGCCTGAAAACGGACGATCAACTATTATAGCTAACGACAGCTGCACTTGACTTGTTTCAGTAATTCGAACGGTGAACAGCGGCCGATTGGGCAAATGTTCAGCTAAAATGGCCAGATTATGTGTTCGTGCTGACTCAATTGGGTGTAAACCCAGCTTTGTTTACCTATACCAATTCGCTAGGTATGCCAGCGGCCGTTCGGAAATTGTTTACGTATAAATTTTACATCTACCTAAAGCTCTGCGTACTTGTCCTGTGCTACATGGAAGTGTGTTAAAAGGCATAAGATCAGGGTAAAATACTAGCAGCTATAATATTTCGGTGCAGCGTAGTAAATACGGAAAAAAGAAAACCCCAATGCAATATCAACAGATCGCATTTACAAATAAATACCTGTCAGAGGTTTGCACTCACTATGGTGTAATTCACCATACAATTTAGATGGGATAGTAGTTTTTTTTTTTCGTGATCGAACAGCACGTTGAAACTTGACGTGAGTTCTTCTTTATCTTGTTCGTACGCGTTACTGTCTCGTATGTAACTATGACCAAACAAGCGAGTGTTAACCCGTCCGTATCTTTCCCCATCCCAAGTCCTTCGCCAGCTTTTATTGGCCTCTCGGCACTCCTTCAGGTTCATCACCAGCTGTTAATAACCTCACCTGTCAAGGATGTTAATGTTTGCTCGTCAAAAGATTCCGCCGTAGACGTAACACCCCCGCCGCCGCTGCTGCTACAAATTATTGATCGTGCTGATAGTTATCATAATAGCTGAGGTATTGGTAACTTCTCCTCCCATGGTCTAGAACAGTGCGTAGGCAACCGGAATTACAACGTACCAGTAAATCAAGCTAGCCTCTCTTTCCTAGTTTTCAACCTCAGGGAGCTAACGGCTGCGACGACAAGGTTGGCCGAGATGGCAAGTCTTATGGCTAAACTGCTGTGGCTGGCCGCTGCAACCAGGTGGGATTGCCCTGCCAGCCGCAGTAACTTAATTTGTAATCACACGAAAAGAAGGAACAATCCCATCAGGGCCACAGACAAAGGCATAAATTATAGATGTACGTATGACCCTATTGTTGCGTCCTAATGATTGTGCGTTACAGCAGCGCCTACCAGGAACCGGCTTCAGGAATCTGAAACAATCTGATTACAAATGGAAGCATCTCTTTTCGTTTGCTATTCAGTTGTTCGTCAGCTAATGCTATAATCGTGGAAATATTAGAGACGAATTTAAGATGATTCAACTTCCCTGTGGAATAAAGTTGATTAAGTTGAAGGCCCTAAGTATATCAGCAAACAAACATTATTTTTTTTTCTTTTCTTTGATAAAATATTCATGTGTGTGTGTGTGTCAGGGACGAGGTTCCTCAACATCTTGATCAGGAAAAGGCCCCAACTTTGAAGTAATAAATAGGTGTCGTCATTTAACATGCCGACATTATTTTATTGACTAAATAGCTGTGTTAATCCTTAATATTTAACTAAAATATGACACTGCTGGCAATGAATTCAAACTTAGCAATAAAAGAAAATTTCAAAAAGCGAGAGGCTTATATTAATCTGTGCTAGAATTAGGTCCAGGACTCATACTTTGAACTTTTACTGAAGCTAATTATTATGGATTCTCTTATATAAACCTTTTTGAGCCATTCGCTCAAGTTATTACGACAACAAATTATTCATCACTATCCGTGGAAGAGATCCCATCGACCTTCAGCCTTACTTGTAACATCTCATCGTCGTATATATATATATATATAAATGTGCGCAAGGGGCTGGACATCCGTACACCAAATGAATTCATGTTCGAGTGTATTACTCTGTTTGAAAGCTTCTGCTTTCGCCAGTATCTCCGTACACTCTCGTTGGGCAGGCTACATATTTCAGTGTGTTTAATGGTGATGCAATCGAAGTGGATCCATCGTCCCAGCCCGCCATTATTACGACTCGCGCGGCCTGGAAGCACCAACTGCGAGATTGGATCGCGTCCAGTTACTAACATTTAGCTTGAAGAGATATACAATTTGGAATTGGATCTAATAGACGCTGTCTTGCTTCTTTCGTTCAGCGGGTTTGTTTGTATTTATCAATGCCCAGTTTTCCGACAGGGCGGAACTGCCTCAGGACCTGATTCAGGACCAACCGCGGATATTACAGCCAGTTTCGGCGCAGCAGAGATGCGTATCCCAATGTAGACACCTCTGGCTTGTTTTACTAACCTACTTTATAGCGAGGCGATATAGAAGCGTATTTTATTTTCAAACTTTCCTTTTCTTGCAATCCATTACTCAAGAAAAAGTCACTGCTGTCATGTATGTGCTATTTTTTAAGGACAAAAACGGTTGAGCTTTTTCACAGTGACGAAAACCTCACGCCAAGCTGCGTCGACTAACCGAAAGCTGTGCTGTGCTTGTCTACCAGTACGATCCCAAACGGAAAATATTTTATATATTTTTTTATCATAAATATGTTTTCAAAGCGAGGCCCTTATTGGAAAACCCTTGAACTGCACCATCTCCGATCTCATTGACTCAAAAAACGTTCTCAAAAACTGGTTCCTTCCTTCTCTAGCTACTATTTACCAAAAAACGTTACCTTTTACCCCCTACGCTATTGTTAACCGCAGGCGTGCTCATAACGTGCTATAGCTTATCTTGTCTATTAGCCAAAAAGACGGCCTCTAGATCTGAAATTATCCAAACTAAACCAGAGTTCGAAGGGAGGTCTGTTTGATCGCACGCTTTCCAAACGTCTTTTTCTATGTAGAAGTTTTTCTTTGCACTCGGGAAATTTTTGCGGACTGAATAGCTTATTTTCGCACTTTGAAATCGTTTTTGAGTATACACAGTATCTCGCCGTCGGCGGTGTCATATGGCCCTTCTACGCGTCTATGCAGGAACGAAGAGATAACCAAAACGCTGCGTACCTAGCTCATGAACTATATTCCAGACCGTCCATTGGCAACGGCATATTCTTGCTGGCCCTCCCATAGTATCCGATCCTGGCGTTGATGACGTTTTAAAAATGCCACACACGTAGAAGTGACTCCGACCAAAGAGTATCGAAACTGATAATGAAAGGGACGCGAATTATACCGAAATTCTTCATATTACTTTAGTCACAACAATGTATATACGAATATATAAAAGTATGGAACTCCAAATCTTTCTTTACAGCTTGTGTTTAAAACTGTATTTAAATAACAATAGATATCTGAACGAAATGCCTTTAATGCACTAAAGGTATGATTTCCGACAACCATGCTTCTCCGACAGCTAAACTTTTCGGGCATTTTAAAAATATTCTTTCTTTTATCCGCAAATAATTTTTTCATGTATCAAAGCATACGTCAAACAATACAGGCGGGTGTAAATTCGTTTAGGTTTTTTCAATCGAAGCATATGGAAAAAATTATTGCCGAACTCAATTGTGGGCTGATTTGTATGTGATAAGTGGCCAAAAGTTTTCGAAATACAAATATTAAGAAAGGCCAAAAAATTCAAAAGAAGCAAAGAGCACAAAAAGTCTCAAGACGTTTGACTGCTAGGGCTTATTTGGAGAATCTATTTGGTAAATGATATTCTCCTGTTTAAAACAACTGTTGACCTTTAGGTATATTAAAAATAGCTTTCGGCGACGTTTTAATGAATTTTTAACCACTTTAACTTTAAATGCTGTTGAACATTATCCGGTCCGTCTGAATGTCTTCCTCAGACCCTTCACAAGCCGTACGAAAACGGCCAAAAACATGGACTGTCGATTTTGGGCAAAACAAAAATTTAGTTTTAGTTGAGGTTCATCTAGCACGAAAAGATTAAATAATAGTTGATCACTTGAAATCCGACACAGACCATTACGAGTTTGTTTTAGAAAAAACTGGCTCGCGTGTATTATTAGGCATAGTGAATGAACGTACGGCCGTTATAACAAGCAACCCGCCAAAGTTTGTCTTAGTTAAGATGCCGTAAACGTTATATATATATGGTTTGCAAGCAGTTATGATTTATTTTTTTCGTACTTACCTAACATGACAGTTGATTGCGACTGCCTTTGTCAATATATGTGTACTGAAATTCATTCTGTTAGTATTAAATTTATCAAATTCTTGGAACACATTTTTATTATACATTTACAATGCGAATCTACCAGTTGTTAAAGATCTGCACCCTAGCCTATACGAAAGCTCAATGGGGGAGGGGGGGGATATAGGCCTGTAGAATTCCCTCAGTATAAGGATTGAGTACATATTCACATGCACCTTCATTATCACATTAGCACAGAGCCTTCCAAACGTAAGGATTAAAGAGGGTCTTTATATTATCGATCTGAAGAAGCCTTGAACAACGAAACGCTTCATTCCCAAATACGGATTGAATATTACGTTATTGAATAAACACTATAACCTCAGTCACATTTTGCGTGTGTGTGTGTGAATTTTTTTGAAATTAGGCTATACTCTTTTATATTCAGCTTGGACAAGCGACGCTTCTAGTAACTCATATCAATGACACACGTTGTGTTAGTCCGCATAACATGACGATACCATTATTTCTTTGTAGGAGGAATAGACCCGTTTCTCGTTATACACATTGAATACTCCCTATCATCATTACTATTCTAGCCATATTTTTGCGTTATTAATATAAACACGTACAAAATTTAAAAAAAAATTCTGCAGGTAAAAACTAAAATTCTATTTTCATTTTTTTTTTTATTTCTGTTCCTGGCAACAAAAAACGCGTTCTTGCAGAGTGTGGGCATCTTGGTGGCGATTCCCGGCCTTTGGCTGATCCTCACCCTGTTCGGATTTCTCGTCTTTTTTCTGTGTCGCTGTTGTGACTCGAACGCCAAGAAGAAAAAGCGGATCACCCCCCTCAAATGGATCCTATCATTTTTCGCCCTTCTAGCCTGGTAAGATTGCTCACGACCGCACCGTTCTTCTTCAACCAGCTACTATCTGCATCAAGGGATCAGCGTTACTGTATTCGGCCGCTGCCGCCAACGTGTGACAATAATAACAGTAGCGGGCATTGCAATGACGCAGGACTGCTAATAAAAAAAAAATCGACTACTTTGCACTACCCTAGCAAATTGCATATAATGATCGCCCGACTACTTAGCGTTACTAAGTTAAATTTCACTTACAGTGCCGAGGTTGACATTAGGTATTTGCCCTGCTTTTCATTTAGAACACACACAAACTATACATACATAATTACACAATTAGTGTATCGTAAGCCACGTTAGATGGCATTCCCTTTGAAGAACTGGTGGCTTCGTAAATGACGTTAATCTATCTACGATAGATAGCCTATCGTATCACTTATGTGCTGTGATCTGGAGAGCACACCTTCCGCTCCGCTGCGTTGTCCTTGCTCTGGCTTTCAGAAGGAAGCCTTTTGTAAAGCTCTCGTCTTATCACACTCGGCCATCTTTCGATTCAAAAGCGGCGATAAAGTCACAGTACAAAACAGTAATAAGAATAAGGCTAGCACGACTGTCTCGTCGTAGCTGTCAATGCCTCCATAGGGATAACCTCTGCAGCTTTATTTTAAGAGGCCCATGCTACACTTCAACTTACTAGACGTTTCTGCAAGACAAACAGCCAAGATGGATTAAGATAAGACAAAAAAAAGGATTCCTCGATGGCTTTCCTGTACTTTGCTTTTATTCTTTTGCTTGCTTTTTTTCGTCAACTCGATACTCTTCTCACCCCCTTTACTCATCCTACTCACGTGTGGCCTCTCCAGCATCTCCAAGGGCTGCACTTCACTCGGTGATCAACAGTTGTTTCTGTAAACGGCTCCATCCTATGTGTTCCGTATTGTACTCGTTTACATTCTGATATTCACAGTTCATTTTACAAGTTACCCACTCGTAGTCTATTCGGCAAGTAGTTGTGACACCGCCGCTGCTATAGTGCCTATTTTCTCTCACTTTTCGGCCGATTTTGCTCGGTTATAGTGTGGTCCTCAGCACTTCCGTAAGATCGCTAGGTCTGTTATCTCAGGCGTATTGAGGTCGCCTCATAAATTCTTGTGAGGGAAGCGATTAGCTAATCATTAAAAATAATCATTAGAAGGAGGTACCGAACGCCGGGCCGCACACATAAACAGTGTGCCAGCTGAGAGATGTGAGAAATGAAATAACACTGTCGCTATTATTGTCCTGTTCTTGCGTTAATGCCGCTAATTAAAAATACAAGGCGGGGGTACGATGGCCCTGACCGATAAAGTGGATGCACTTTTCCTTAAGCTGCCTTCCCCTTTGCTCATGTTCTTCCTCTTTACCTCGCTTCTTATGTGGAAAGTACGGTTGAACTCTGCTTCAAGCTAGCGCTAATACCAAGATGATGATCAGTATTCTGATAAGAGCTCTCTTTAACCCCACTAGCCGGCCATCAGACCACTTAAGCACACAGCACGGAAAGATCATCAGCACGCCGGCGTACTCTACAAATACAATCGCAATCGAAAGTGTTAGAGTCCTACAGTAACTCTTAAACGAACCTGGAAGGTCGACAGTTTTCAGACGCTAGACTTAAACAACAGAAGACTTAAGGTGGGTTTTGGTGAAACGCTTAGAAGGTTCTCGCTGGCGATTCAAATAATTTACGTTGATATCATTGCAAAGAAATTGAAAAATCCATAGGATGGTCGGCCCTCTACTGTGTATGGATCTGCGCGTTAAGCATTGTGTCTTTAATGATTCATTGGTCTTTAGGAAAAGAATCGAGGTCCAATTCCTCAAGACTTTTAATTTTTGGGTTAGAGTGGTCCACAAGACGCCACTGGAGACGAAACGCTAAAATCTGGGCTGCATGTCACCCTCGCTTTAAATTTTCCTTAGGGTACAATAAACCAGAAGAGCCCTTTTCCTGCTCGATCGATTTAGCACAATGTAAGTGCAGATCGAGGCCGGACAATTACCTAAGGGCCAGTTGCTTCGCTTTGGTTACATGAAATTTATAAATCCCGACAAGGAAACAGTAAAAGGTTAGGCAGTTTCGAAATCACTGGTTCTGCTCAATCTGTGCCATATTGCAACGATGATAATAATATGACTAATGCCGTAGCATTTACTTTTTGTAAAGTTTTTACGGCTTATTTTAAGATTGAGTCGTATAATCTCCTTGCGGCTAGGGTAAAGCAATAAATTGGAAATCAAGTATATGCCGGACTATAAATATTAGCTGTTCATTATATGAAATTATGATTTTTTTCCTTACTAACCATTCCCACCTTTGGCGTTCTAGTGGAGCTCTTAGCCTTGGTCTATTTGGCAATGATCAAGCCCATCAAGCACTTTTGGTCGTCCAGCGGTCAACAGGGGAAATGGAAACCGTCGTAAAATCAGTTCGAAACCACACTTTAATTATTGAGCAGCTTCTCGACAACTCGATCCGTGAGGACGTCGACCAGATATCAGTCCATTTTTCGGGTATGCGAAAGAACTACGTAAGACTTTGTTTTCGCTCTTTTAGCTGCGTACGTTCCATATTTTAACATCGTATACACACACACAGTGTGGTTAATCAGTAACTGAATAATTTCCGTTAGCATTAATCATATAATATTTGAAGAAAGAATCTAAATTAGCTCATGCTTTCGAATGAAGCCGCCACTGGGATGGCAACATGTCGGAGTTGAACGAAAAAAGCTGCGATGTAAATAGTTACTCTTTCTTCTCGTTTTAACGCAGTTTTTTAACGACCTTTGCCGATCTTTTCCCATATCGTCTCCCTCTTATATTCTAGCACCTCTTCCTAATGCCACAGTTCGTTCAATGGTGCGCGAGACACTCGGTCATATGCGCGCGAACATCAGCCAGAGTTTAGCAAAAACCAAAGATATGAACATTAAAATGAAAGCACTCGATCTGCGTAATCTGTCGCAATGGCTGCAAATCGTCGAGTTCTTCCGTTGGCCAGGCACGATTGGGCTACAGTGTGGCCTCATCTTCATCTGCCTCTTACTTCTATGGGGGGTAATCAGGCACTCGCGCTGCCTACTCATCCTGTTCTCTGTGCTGGGCCTTTTGTCGGTCGTCATCTGCTGGGTGCTTGTGTCACTCTACTTCGGGCTTACGGTGGCCGGAGCCGATTTCTGTTTTAACCCCGAGCCGTTCTTCAATCGGTAAGTTGGTCTGTAGTAGAGATTCGGAGTGACAGCACTCAGATCACAGACTACAGACTATAAGACATTTGTATGGATCTCAGCGTGCCGCTACAAAGCAGCACGTTAAATTATATATGATCAAATTTTTAATTCTACCGCCTAGTCCTCAAATAGATGTCAGTATATCAATGCCCCTATTGATGTTACGGCAGTTCAGAGAAAATGAACGAATATGGCTCGATTTTAAAGGTAATTCGTTTCGATACATTTGTCTTTGCTTGTAAAATAATTTTCAGAATGGCTGGACACAACCCGGATGAACGTTTGGCAATCGAATACTATATGACTTGCGAGGAGATGACCAATAATCCATTCAAGATCGACATTATTGAAGCCAAACGAGCAGTACATGACTTACAGAGTAATACGCAGATCCTGAAGAGGATCGCTGAGCAGTACATGCCGCAACAGGTAACTACGTTCGAGTCTGACCACTATGTGATCTCCGTTGGATAAACTAACACATATTCAACTAATTTTACTCTCTACGTTACCTTCAAGTGAAAAGCAATGATCATACGATACAATAGATGGATACTGAAAAAACTTCAAAATATTGGCTTTATTTTAGGTATGGTCATAAACGTTCTGCTGTTCATACAAGCTTTTATATCAATCAGAGCTACAATAATCCTTATAGTATCAAGCCAAAGGCCTGTTATCTTGCAGCATCTTTGATTGATGTAAATTTTGAAAAAAAAATTACGTCTGTATCAACCTACCCCAATAAATCTAAACTGTAGTTTATATATATATATATATATATATATATATATATACATATTTTTCTTTTTTTTGTTATTTTCCATAGGAGGTGCGTGCTCTGTTGCATGCTTTGGAAAAACGCCTGGAGGACACGGAGCGTACTCTAAGCCGTATGGCAACGTTGGTCGAATGTACGACTATTCAGAATGAGTACCTTAACGCCATGGAAGCCATCTGTGTCAGCACCTTCGAAGGTAACAACGATCTGATCATATCGATTACCTTAATTGCATTCAAGTGTTATGTCTGCTTTTTATTATCATTGCATTATTATTCTTATATTGTTATTATGCAGGATAACTAAGAAAAGGGAAGTGCAGGATAACTTAGATGCACTAAATATGTGCTTGAAACAACAAGTTTGAACTTCGCTTCTTTAAAGTAATATGCTTTAATTAAGAAACTGTGTATGTGACATCTATTAGTGGCAGGCATTTTCGAATTATAACCCAATATTCCACGATTTTCTTACCATGTTTGGTCGTCCGTTCATTCATCTGTCAATGGTTATTATTTGTATTGATGCTTCACATAAAAGCAAACTACATGCTCTCATACTGCTGAACGACTCCACGGAATCGACCACAATCGTCTTCCACATAGACGCTTGTCCTCTTTTATTATTCAAAGCTTTGGGTTGAATTCGGCGCGAAGTTCAAATTAATAAGCAATACGTCTCGTCGCCTCTCGTTTCTTGGCGCATCGTCGACCTCTTTTTTGCAGGCACGGTATTCATGCTGGCGTCAGCCGCGGCTTCGGGCCTCCTATTCACGATCCTGATCTGGATCGCCTCTCACACGTGGATTCATATCCGTTCTCGGTGAGCCCTCGATACCTAATCTTGGTTGACTTACTGCTAGTCTTCAATTCAGCCTATCCTTAAAAAGTCATGAAGGCATTTTGAGAAACCAAAGTAAAATCAGATATGAATTTCAGTTAATAATTATTGTAAGTTTATTATTAGCCTATTCCATATTTTATCCTAATAGCTATAATTTACCCATCCGACCGTTAGTTTCCCATAAAAAAAAAATCAAATTTGACTTATTTCTTTAATCAAGTCCTTAACAGTTGTTTACTGAATAAGCTGTCGTTTTCTGTTGATTTTGATCTGCTAAATTGTTTATCCTTATTTCTAAAAGTATTATCATCTAAAGTCTTCGTAAAGTACAAAAATAAAGTAAGAAAATATAAAAGTCTTCGCAAGATTATTAATCTATTCCAACAGTTGCTTTAGCTTTCTATTAATGCAGTCTGCACATGCTACGATAGATTATTGTTCGATTACGTTCATTTTTCTTAATTCGAATTGTGGACACGGTACTATTGTGTGCTTTCTTGCGAAACCCCTTTTGTTCAAAATCCAGTTTTTTTCTTTAAAAGTTGTGCCCTGGCTTTAGGAAATCGCTGCTGCAAAACAGAGACCTATTGAAGTTTCTTTTTACCCCCTCTTTGGCATTTTTTGTGGCTCATAACGTTTGCTCTCCTAATTTCCGTGACGCTTGCTTGAAAATACTACACTTTGCGTTATCATTAGCTACATTGTCTAGACAGGACTCCCTGCATAGTTCGGGTTTGATTCTTTTCACTTTCATTTCCTATAATGAAATATTTTAATTCTTCCTTCACTTCCGGCAGCTAGTACCTTCACTCACCGCCTAGAATCGCATTCTTCGATTTTTTTTTTGAAGCTCGAACATTGCGCTATTTGACCCTGAGGCTGCATATCAAGAAGTCGAAATCTGTAAAACCTCATAGATCTAATTTCTTCTTTTCTGGACCGTACGATCCTCTTCTCGCAAGAGCTTTATTGGTCTCTGAACTCTGCGCTAACAAAGACTTCTAGATATTAAGTTTTTAAATGAAACCGTCATATTCTCGATATGCCTTCTTATACATATAATAAGTTCGTTATCCTTATCAATTTACCCTAGTGCCCTTTCTTAACTATCAACTCCGAGCCAGCAAACTGCTTTCAGACCACAATTCTCAGCCGTGCCCCACTCGTTTTTTTATTCTCCCATTTTTTTTTGCCTGCCTGTGCTAACGGCCGGAGTGTCCCTACTGCTGTGTGCTTGCATCCGTTCATTTCCCAGTCACCCCCGAGCGCGCCCCGACCCCACGGACGACGAAGGTCGACCATTCCTCGCCGGTGCAGGAGGTGAAAATACCCTCTCCCGCATCGGAACATCGAGTGGCACCCTGCGAAACACGTACGCTCCTTATATTGTTGCTACTGTTTGCCATAAATTGGGCTTGTCGCTATCGGCTGCCTCAAACAACAAGTCTATGGCAGGCGGCAACGGCGACGCTGTCGCTGCCGATGGCTACGAATATTATTCACGACACGCCCGCTGTCGTGACAATAATGATCATAAATTAACCAAAAAGGGTGGCGCATTGAAGGGGCTTGCGTCAAAGTCGAACGCACGGCTGGCGTACCTCTACGATGCCAACAACTTCTTTCCGCCTACGCACGTCACGCATGGGCCTTCTCCGCAGCACGCGGGCTCATTTCCACACGTAACACGCGCCGGTTGCGACAGGGGAAACGGCAATCTGCATGAGCCTCTATTGGGAGCCGACTCAGCCGATAACAGGGGCTATCGGTATAATTCGCCCCCTGCACATCCTCCACCGCTGCCGTCAATGATACAGGTTACTGCGGCTAAAACAGCGGGTGGAGTGATGGCTATAAGTTCGGGACGAGAGCCGTCCTACGTCGGCCTCGAACTGGTCCCGACGAGAGATCTGCTGGCAAGCTCGTGAGCATGCGATTTCTTTCTTTGTTTCGCTACATTCGTTTCATATAATCCTCTATTCTGTTTAGTCATTTTAGGTTCCTGTTAACGATTCTTTTCATTTTTTTCCGCCGATCTATTTTTAAAAATAACTATCGGGGTTTGACCTTATAAACTTTTATATTGTATTATTCAGTGATTGAGATACATTTCTTTTTGTTACATATTTTCTATGTGCATTACATAACGCCTATGTACGCCATAGATATAAATGAAATTATACTTCTATATTTAGGTACTATACTTTCTAGTTACTCATGACGTTCCCTATCTACCAGTTTGTTATTGTTCATTTTGCTATTAATTTACTTCTATTGGTTTTATTCTGCCCATAGAGTATAAGCAATATTGATTATAAAAGTTTTAGGTTCTGTTTCAGTATGTGTATTACACAGTTGATACACAAAATGTTCGTTGCTACTGTACATGTGTTACTTTGTTGTCTTTTTTTTTTTTAATTTATTCGTATAGTAACGGACGTAGACAGCAGCTGACGCATGCACATTGATCAAAACTTGACCAATAAATAGATCTATATGAACATATAATGGATGCCAAGCCAATTTCACTCGAATCGACGTGATCAATTTATTCTAAGTAATAAGGAAAAGTTTACACAGAATTTGTTCAAGGGTGGTAATATGGTAAGTTTAAGTTTTTGTATACTTTTTTCTAAAACGTGCGCTGCTTCGCAAATCGGAAGTCGGCACATGTACCAGAACGATATTTACTCCGGTATGGTCTTTTGGACTTCGATGAAATATTCTTAACAAAAACAGCGTAATTTACATATCTGCTATATTATGTATTATGCTCGTCGCCAATATCATTAACGTAACAGTGGTATTTGTATTGATATTATTAATTAAATTATTATTAGGAGCTTGGTCATTTTCGAGATAAGGCAGTGCTTTGCATCTTCGCTGTCCACATGTAGCCATCTATACCCAGATTTCCCAAAAAAGCCGGACAGCTGTAAATCGTGTTTTTTCTAACTCATACAATCCCGTCATAATGCAGTTTTCTCTACCATTGCATTAACACACGATCTCTTATGGCACACTTCGCGCACAACGTCTGTAGCACCTCGTCGTCGATTCCATTTGGATGGTAGTAATCAGTAGAGAGTGAAGTTCTGTTGCTCTGTTATTACTCTATTGTACGCTGACATTACACTTTGCCAGGAGAAGTCCGCGGCCGGACGCCATGCGACAGCACCCCATCAACGGCTTCAGCACGCTGCCTTCACGTGATGAACAATGGCATAGCGATCCTGGACAGTACTACCGGTAAAAGTCCGCGTTCAGCGGCCACTCGGACCCCCCTGGCCGCAGTTCGAATTGCACTAACTAGTTGAAAGTGAACTGTGCTCGAAGTGTGAACCCTATCCCCATCCGCTTGTATCTTCTACCTATATGTGCTGTTTTTTTGGGTCTAACTAACTGGACCCACGACTTCAATTGGCCCGTTACTCTCCCAGTTACTCATCCAAAAAAAGAACTAGAATAACACCACTAAACATAGTGGACGGTGGACGACGATTCTGCAGTTACTAACTGCAAACCCTGATTAATACATGTTTGAAGCCGAACCTTTGTAGCTGAATGACACCACCAAAAATGTATCAGTACTTAGTTACAGATGGTCATGAAAAATACAGGACCTACCTAATTAAGGTGGTGAAGAGTAAGAGAATCGGGTTATCTCGAAAGGAATAAGTCTATTATTGAGCTGTCACAAATTTCAACATCAGAATAATTTTTTTTTGGATATTTTCCTACTTCGTTACACTTTATCTAATAATTTCAATAGACGTTTCATGCAATATCTCTACCGCTTGGACGTCTTCGGTTTGGGCGTCAATCGTCTCCTGGGGCGTCTGTCGTCGTAACAATCTACACATAGTGTACGCAGTAGTCCGAACTGTATGTGTAAATTTTGCGAATTTTACTGTTAGCTTTCTGGTCGCCTGAGAAGAACACATCGGTTAGTCTAACACACAATGGCGTTAAGAACAGCGGTCAGTTTTTTGAATTCGGGTGACTTCATTGCATATGGCTCGTTTTTTCTACACGAGCTGGGTATTGTCGTCTGTGGTTCCGTCGTTTCCTCGTGTAATTGTCTGTTTTTTCGAAAATCCGCTATTAACACCCAACATGATATTTTCCTGTTGGAGAGTTCTGGGTTGAGTCTTGATCATACGAGACAAGTAACAGTCTACTTAATTACTGTCCAACAACTAGCTGACGAATTTCTTAATTATTCGATAGTGCTTGATAATGCTTTATGACCGTGTGTATAAGCTGTGCGGCTTTTGTACTCCGATTGGGACGACTTCGGACGTGTCGATTCAATCTTACCTTCTTCTAGGTGCGGCTGCAAGAAACACGTGACAAAGTGGGTGTGAAGAACATGAATGGAAGAATTAACCCTCAAGCAAGCAAAACGTAAGCGTCCAACAACAACCACTATTAAAACGAGTAAAAAATTCTATATCATACGGCACAAGCACTGGAAAAATCGTTCGTCACTATCGTTGTCGTACAGTGCATTCGCAGTTTCTAATTAGTGCTTGCTTCTCGCGCTCGACTTTTCCCAGAAAAATCCTAGGTCACCAACCCATCACAGCAAAAATATGGAGCCAACGTTCGTGAATCGCCTGTCAAAGTCCAGTTTGGCCATGACTATGCACTTTGCCCTAGTGTCTTGGCACATTTAGATCCATCGTGGGCCGAAGGACACCATTCTAAACTACTAGTCCTAATTCTTGCGTCATTGGCCGACTAGTTTAAACGGACGTATGCCACGAACGCTATACGTCAACGAACACATAGAGCCCTACCACTATTAGGGCAAAGTATCATCGGTCACTATCCTGCATTGATAGTTGTGTTCTATAGCACTGCCGGTGTGAGCACATTTATGCATATTTCGACATGACACTCAGTATACGCATCACCCTGCCAGATAGAGTTTATTTAAACTGCAGTATTCAATGACTTCTATGACTAATTGCAGTCTACCTGTGACGCTTTTACAATTTTTAATCGAATCACAGTAATGTAACGATATGGAAAGCCATAAGCTTCAATCAGTCCTATATTTTTTTAATTTCGACTATTAAACGCATCGGACATAGCATGCGCATGGCCTGAGTAAAATGTTATGTGCTCGCTTGCTACTAATTAATTTATGTACTGTAAATTAATTTACAGATGATTGTACATTTATAAACGGGATTTTTTATTAGAAAAGTGCCAAAAATAAAATAATTTAACAAATAGCTAGCGTGTCGCATACTTTAGACTAAGTCATATTGAAACCATCGGGTGGCGCTCCTTATGTAAAAATGATGACATTTTTATTCGTACGTTTTTAGGCATAGTAAGAAAATTCGAACTCTGCGGGGAACAACTAAGAAGTGAAAATGATTTTGCATTGCAAAGAAATATTGACTAAATGGACTTCAAAATTATCCGATATATACCAAAATTGATCAACACTGTACATACAAATTGGGCATAATTTGCTCTTAATATCTCCCAAAAAATGCCTACCTGTATCAACTGTGAAACCTCCTTTAGCAATTTATGGATCAGTTTTTTTGGCTTTTGTGGGGCGTGATCTCAGTCGGTGCCCGGTTATGGCAGCCGAAATTATCTAGCAAAACATTGAATATGATTTCAAAATTAAGCCTTCACGAATCGACATCATAAAACGTCAAATATCGAGTCCATACATAACATCACCAACATCAGATGCTTGGCCACTATCCTATGATTTTGCAATGCAGGGGGCGCTAGTATCAGATTAGATCTCCTAGTGGAAGCGTCCCTTCGATCGCGAATCTTGCAGTGGTATGACATTGTAATCAATTATGGTCGATAATTTTATCTCTTTACTAACGAAAGCGTTTAATTTGGCGTCGCCACTTATTTCAGAAGTAGTCGAACAAACGGCAGAGAGGATCAGGCTTTTCTCCATGCCAGGTACACGCCTCCACCCGCGGTAAGTTAATTTTGAGCTCTCTGGGATCGCCTTGCTTTAGGTAGACAACATTAAATGATTATAAATAATAAATTACAAAAACTATTTACTTTAACATATTTAGGTAATTTTTCCTTAATCAGACAGAGAATAGAGGCTTAATATCTTTATGCATTTATTATTTTCAAAGTTACCAAATTATTTTAAGACTCCATGTATATTTGTAGGCTTGTTTGCTGATCATGCTCTAAAAATTGGTCCAAAGACAGTGCGCTTTTATTGTGCGGTTCTTGTAGTTACCATGGCTCAATTTAGATGTAGTTTTTCCGAAATGTTAGGGTTGGAAAATTCTGAAAAAAGCTATTCTTAACAACTAAACAACTTATTAGAACTTACATTTTAGCGCCCTTGCGCTAACTGTAGCGGTTGTAAAAGTTAGTTCCACTTACTCCAGCCGTACCAAAGACATTACATTTATTCCGTTTTCCGCATCCCTGTTAAGTAGATGCCATTATCCGGTATATTTATAATTTCTATCAAACAATTTCCTAAAACTCCATATCAGAATAGTATGGCAGTGCTATGACTGCGTAAACGAGGAAAAAGACATTTTAATGGCTACCGTAATAATCATGATGCAGGTAACCCAGTTTGGAAGAAAAAACTTTCTCCACTTGGACCTTGTTGCGACTGATGAATAAGGTGCGGTAATTCTCCGCGATATTCTTCTTTTCTTAGTGGTCCTAATTTACCTATTGTTTGAATTGGATTTTGGTTTCCCTTACACGTAACGCGTCGATCTTGCTTGTCCTGTACATTGGACCAGTTGAACATATCTGTTTGCCATTATCGGTTTATGCAGCCTCGTCTAGTAGCGATTCATAGCCAGTCGTACGAGTTTTTAGCTAGATCCGTATTGTCGTTCTACCGCTTATATGATTTTAAGAATGATTTTTTCCCCTTGACTATATTTGTCACAGTGCAGAAATGGTTAGAGGCGCACAATGGTTGAACTCTCCATACTAGGCATATAATTAGTACTGTTATCACTCGATATTCGATTTATTCATATTTTTGTTGAACTCGACATCTTGTGCTCGTTTATCTAGCACCTTATAGCAGCTTATATAACTAAAAATTTTCCCCTGTACGTTTCTCTGTATTTCAGTCATAGTGAATCGCTAGTGTTAGAGTACTGATGTGCTATCTATGATAACTCTACTGGTATTCTTTGGCAATAAATAAATAACCGAATTTTAGTTGTACTTTCTTAGTAGATTTTTGATCAAAGCTTGATGCTACTGTGTAAGGCTGTGTTTCTAATAGCAACTAGTACTATTAATGTGGTATTCATCATAACTGCTCACTAATGTACAATAAAGTAGCTCCATACAGAGCTATTTTTTCTGCATGCTATATTTTGCGCTAAGGAAATTACTAGCACATCGGGACAATATATGGAGTGGCAACTGAACGTTACCTTAGCAATTTGCTTGCCATCCAATCACTACACGTTCGAAATACATAAAAGAACAAGGATTGATTTGTCAATCAACTGTTATCATCCGTTCAACAATATGACCGCCATGAAAAAAGTTTTTGCAAAATTATCCCAAAAAGCATACTGTTCTCGTCAAGCGTATTATATAGTAAATATCGGTTTATTGTTTATTCGATCCTGACCCGAAACTTCCGACTGTTGAACTGGTTCAATGTCTTTTGTTAGTTTTCTTACTTCTTTCCTGGCCTATCATATCTGAAAAGAAACGGTTCAATCATGTTTCCTATATGTAATTGAGAATGTTTACTAATCGTCGTTACGAGCCGAAACCCACTATCACTGCCTCGCCATTGTTACAACTCTCGCTAGCGCCAATTCTTACCTAAGCAAATACTCAGCGTTGCTCACTGACCTCGCGTTGTTGAAATTTTGTTCCGACAATGACCGAAAAGTTTCATATATATATATATTGATTTATTTAAACGCGCGTGTATTGATTAGCGAATCACGACATTTCTTTTTTGTATTCTCTCGCTCTGGTTTTCGTTCACTCACGCGCGCACACACACATAAAAGCTTTGTATCTCCTTTTCAATATACAAAGCGAAACGATTTCTCGGTTTGCCGGCCCATTCCTATTACCGCATTAACTAACGCATAATAGTAAGCAGATTTAGATTTTTATATTTATTTCCTACTTCTACGTGTCCACTGCACGTATGCGGATGCAATTTATAGCTTGCTTTTATGCAAATATATGGTGCTGACTAGAAAACAAAGCCGCAATAATAACACTATTGTTGTCGTAGTCCGTAATATTTATCCAAACCAATTCTTTGAAAGGAGAACAGATATATTTCCGTTTGATTGCTTTCGCCTCCATCAGCATTTAACCAAATTCGCAATGCTCAACAGTACTGTTATATATAATTTACTTACACAAAATGTAATATTTACCACGTACTGTATTTGATTAATAAGCGTGCTACGATCATTAATCAAGCAAATATGAATAACATATTATTAGAGAATTAATAATAAATGTTCATCTGGCTTGACCGATCCTCTGCCCTCCATCTGTTTCCTACTCTACTTCGTCTGCTACTGCCTCTATTCTGCTGTTCTCCAACAACAACAACAACAACAACAACAACAACAACACCATCCACCCGAACTCGTTCCGTTGTTGTGCCACCGGTCGCAACAGCTCTACATGTGAAGGGAGAGAGGGAGAATGGCGCTCCGGCTCAGAACGTACGTGACGACGTCAAAGTTTACTGTGGAAGTGTGAAAATTGTCGTAAGCTCAATTCTGCCCGGCTGAATTTGGATCGCGCGAGCGCGCAACTTTTTAAACCGTTAAGGCGCTTGATCGTTTCGAAGGGCTGATGTGTTTGCCTCGCACCCAATCAAATCACTGCTAGCGCCCCTTGCCCGGGTTTCATTGTGCGCCTTCTGATCAGCCCGTTTTTATGAAAAGTAAACAAATAAATAAACGGTCAGGGACAGTTGCTTTGCTTCATACAGTATCCTCGCGACCCTGCCTAGATATTCAGATATCCGCTAAATAAAACTGGTTGTATTTTGGTCGCCTCACAAACGTGGTTAGGCGACGTTTTTGAAGGCTGCTTGGCGTCTGTGCCCATTCTCCTTGTGCATTTTGTTGTGAGGGCTAGGTCAAAATCGTGGCGGTCCTTCTGGTGACAAGTTAAGTTCTCGCCCTCTGCTCTCCTTTCTCTCTGTGGCCTATTAGTGCTTCCTTGTGTGTCTTACTCTGCGTGCAACTTATTATGCGTCACAATGACGACGAGATATTAATTAGCCTTGTTGTACATACTGCTATCGAGAACCCACAAAGATATCCAGTTCCGATCTCAGTTGAATGTTGAAGCCTGTGTAGTTACTACCGCCTTTGCTGCTTCTTGTTAAACTAATTCGCGCATTAAGAACTGTCGTCGCAGTGTTCAGTAATCTTCATTTTAGTAAATCTTTGATTCGGTTTAAGGGACAATGCCCTTTTCCACATTCATGCATGAAACAATAAAGCTGTTTCTCGCATCTCTAGTAATGGCGAGTCCTTAGTAGAAAGCCAGTCGCGACCTCATTAAAGCGTCTACTATACACTGAGCTAGTTTACTAATCGATATTCGATAGTTTCGTATCTTTGAACTTACCACTTAGCACCATTCCATCATAGTACTGTATTTTCTATGATAGACTAGTTCAAAGTGTTTTAGAATGAGTTCAATTGAGTGGCTTTTGCCGTTGCTGGTTAGCTTCATGAATTTGCCCTGTGCTTCACCTTAGCCACTTCAGAAGAAACTATTGACCAAAGACTTCATCAGTACTCAACATATTCGTTTGTGTCTGACAGCTTATTTATCACTAACTATTGTTTAGCACTCAGAGCGTAAGATGACGTGTACGCTTCATTAATTCAAAAAAGGAGCACAATTACGCATAAATCGACGTTAATTTAGGTCGAATCCTTCTAACGATCTCCCCTCTGTTTCTTTTATTTTTATCTTTTCTTCCTTATTTCTATGAATTTCATAATAATTTCTCCATTCAAGTGCACCCTACCCCCTGGATGTCGTCCACGGCATGGCACAATGAACTATTATGATGCTTACCAATGTACTACAATACGATGTATCTGTGGGCTAAACATTACCGTATTCTACATCCGAAAGTAGTTATCAGACCAGACCATCAAATGTGACGTTTGAACTGTTATAGGACATCCTAGATTTCTGGGCCAGAAGCCCAAGTAGATGCAATCCTAAAGGGATTCATACGTTTCGAAGGAGATACGATTATATCTGCATAAGACTTCAGAGTTCATATCTTGGTAAACCTCTGTGTGAGCTTAAAAAACGTTGCAATCAGCGACAATATAAACCGATAATTTTATTGTAGTAATTGAAGCGAAAGTGAATACGTAAAGTACCAGCCGGATCCAACTGCGAACATGCTCACTGGCAATTCTGTATAATCGACCACACTTCTAAAAGAACCTACGCCCATAACTTAAATTCAGTATTTACTATTCCCTTATCTGATATATCGACGTTAGCTGGTCATATTTAGATGTTTATCCGTTTCTCTAAATTGGCTCTTTATAAAATCTAAATAAACCAAATACCTACCTGGTCAGTAGTTTATTAAACTAATCAATGATCAATTGTCGACCAATCAATAGCTAATGGTCTGTTCAATGACTCGCTGTTCCAGCCTAGCGTCACCTGTGTACGTTCGATGCCTGGATTTTTTGCCGTGCCGCCTCTCTCATGATGCAGACGATCAGATCGAATGTTGCTTGTTAACTGCAACACGGCCAACGAGGCAGACTTTAAAACGCGACTGCGATTCCTGCCACTTGAGACAATCCCTAGTCGCGTTGAAGTTACAGGCACGAAGTTGTTCCTTCCTTAGGCCCACCTTGTTCCATTGTCGATCTCGACCTGCACAGCCACTGGCTGAAAGAGGCAGTTCAATACTTCCACTTAGAATTTCATCGTATTTGTTAACTGAGAGAAGAATGAGTCATATGATCCTATTCAGCTTTAGTGTCATCGAAATATCTTTGTTTCTCAACTAGAACACCAGACACACCTTACATATTCTGAGCATGATTCCCAGCAAGGCATTCATTATTTACTGTCATCGTTGATGTTTCAAGTGAATGTTTCCTGCATAATGACTCAATTATTGTTTTTGTTTATAGTAATTTGACTTTAATAGACGAAGTGTACATGTATATTTATCAACATACATAACTATATGTTCCTGTCTAGATCTATGAAGAAATTCATTTAGATTTGAGCTTATATTCCGCATGCAATGCGCTAATCCTGATCAGTCTTGTTGACTGAGAAATGTTTGTAGAAGATTTAAACGTCGACTAACCTTGAAATGTCAACTGTTTTTTTTGCAAGATCAAGTCTGCACAAGGCACCAAATGTGGCCGTACTTGTTTTCCTTTTAAAGTAGTTACAACAGCTGCCGTAAGCTATGCTTAGGAGAATCCGATCTCCTTAGACAAAAAGTCTCTTGCTTGCACCCATGGGCTACGAAAATCCAACAATTTTGTAGAACGTGCAGCATGCCCTAACTACTTAGAAAAATACTAAGAACAATTTCGTGTAGGCAATTCGAGCAGGATACTGCCTGTATCCTTTATGCAATCTAATTTATTATAGTCCACAAAAAATACCTAGGTTACTATTAGGGCAGCCTATTCCAAATAATGCATACTTGTTTATGCCCAATCATAATCTAGTGTTCGATCATTGCGGTCAGATAACGCTGATTATATATAATCAATGTTTATATATAAACACTGGGAAGAGCTCTCTAAACTAATACAATTATTGGGAGCGTATCACTGACACGTCTTTCTCTCTCTTGATGCCTTCAATTACTATAAAATAATTAAAGAAAGTCTAGGCCTTATTCTTTATTTTGTAATGTATATGTTCTGTCTTGTACAGTTCTAAGCGAATGTTGTTGTCGTGACAAAAGCAAATTGCATGCCCAGTTCAATTCTTGTTTTACCAATATTGCCGCAATATTACTTCATTTAATTTTCTATTTATATTTTTGATTCGTTGTTTGTTTTTTGTTTTTGTGATGACCGTATCTTTATTTGTTGCTTTTGTCTCCAGTACGATCACCTCGCTGCGTCGTCGCGTCCCTACCAGCAGAAGCTGCCTTCCGCCCCGACAATGTATTCCTAAACTGAAAGCGAAAAGGAAAAATCGAAGAGAAACATAAACAAAAAAAAAATAGAGGCAATCGACTATTAACGACAGCGGCCTGGCGCAGTATCTAGACATCTGTATTTTGTGGATTAACGAGCTAACAAAGTCATGGCTGATAGAGCATGGATGGAATAATGCATTGACCCAAAGTTTAAACGCAAGAGCAACATAGCCGTCAAATGCATGACAATATGTGGAGTACTCCTTGTGCGATTGATATGGCCATATATATATAACACAATTTTCTTGCGCTGCTTATAGTTAGAAAAAATTACGTCCGGTGTCGTTTCTGTTTCTCGACATAAACTTTGCTTAAATACGAGCAGCCTCATTTGTCATACGTATGCTTATCGCAACATAGAAAAAGTTCAGTGTGCATTTGTTTGACAGAAAAGGAAAGAGTATTAGCCTTGTACATTCTACAAAGAAAACGGTGATTACGCGGACGTTGATGATCAGTGTATAGTCAGGTCGTAAGCAGGCCGGTCGATTTGATCGCAAAGGTGTAGTCTAAACCGAACTTTTATGTGAGCACAAAAGATACGGAGTATCTGGTAGCATGACATTGCTGTTCATCTTGCAATCGACCCATCTGATCACCCTCTCGTATTCCATCGCCTGATCAAACCTCTGCAACCTGCGAACATTTCCTTCCGACTAAGGAGTAAGTGGATGCTGGAGAAAAAGTCGGGTAAACCGCAAGCAAAAATAATAGAACAAAATAATCGGAGTGAGAGAAAACGCTCTACATTTTAGGTACGGATTAAGTATCCACTCAGCATCGTACTGCATATGCCCATAGATGTTGCCAAATCCTATTTTTATTCCCTGGGCAGTAAGAATCCTCACCCATTATAAGGAGCGATCAGTTAGGTGCTTAACCCAGTTAACGAGTTGAGACATGCCGCTTGGAGATCGACTGATTATTCTACCCGGCCTGATCAATCGTGGTACGATCATTGAACAAAGATGTTATTAACAGTTGGTTGATGTTAATAGCTGGTGCTCATGTGTTTCTTGCTACAAACTGCGCTTTGGCCAGTGTTACTAGCCTGTTTTTGATTAGAAAAAAGAAATAAAAACTTTAAAAGACGAACTCACATTCATTGTTTTCTCGATTGGTGTATTATATTTTTTCTGAATTCTGCAAAGAAAAATTGGGAACAAAATAAGCTATTTACGAATGGACAGTAACAGAATGTCGTCATTTCCATTTTTGTTTGCCCAATTTCAGCGGCATCATGTCAACACCTCGGATGGCGACCTCACCTGCGCTACTAAATTCTAAAAACAGAGCGAAAGGGAATAGTAGTGTGCATACTCTGAACGAAACAGTTAACGATGATTATGTGCTTTTGAAGAACATAGAATTCGAGTGGTAATAATAGCATACACATATATCGTAACGGAGCTAATCGCACAGTCCCGTGATCTCAGGAACAACAGTGAAACAGAATTCATTTTCTGTCACCGTGAGGATATTCGCAGGCCTACGCAGAATTATGGTGAGCAAGTCAGAACCTCTGTGTTGTCCTGGGCGTCGCCCGGAGGATATTAAACAAAAACACAATAACCAACCATAAACGATATGGAAAGGCAGCACAAACAACGTCGTGATGAACGGTGCAGGCCGAGCGCCCCTCTTCAATATAATTTCCACGCCGCTATCTATCTGTATGATGATAATTGAAACCATCCTAACGACACAACCTGCATCGCTGTGTGTGTATATGGAAGGAATATCTGATCTCATCTTTTACCGGCCTGGAAGCGGATGGAGGATTCTCATTATACAAATACCTACACGGCTCAGAAGGTAGCAAGCACACAGCAATAGCATAGATTGAAGCATGAGAAAAAAATCACAGTTATTAGTTAATACCCGATTCCGTGTATAAATGAACGCGATAGCGCGACTATTAAATAAATGCAAATGGAAATGTCGACAATAGTCCTGACATTGGATCGTCTGACGCATATTATGCGTGGGAGAAATCTCCATGTAAAACACTCTGACAAACAAAAACCGAATGTTATCATTATCATGATTGTCGCAATTGTAGAGCGCGGAACATTCAACGGAAGACTCTCGAATGAGATGAGCGCCGCAGATCTGGCATAGAAGGAAGCAAAAGAAAACGGTTACGAGAATGAGTAAATAATAAAACGAAGAAAACCCGCAACGGCATATGTAGTAATGCTCGTTACCGTAATTCTATGTCGAAGTACACATGACCGAAGATCTGTCTGCAATGTAAAGGCATAATGCACGAGAATGACATTATCTACTGCACTTTACATCGGTCTTGCTGGTTTATGAAACCCTAAGTGAAGACTGTCACGTTTTAAAACTCGCTCGTTATTACCTATCGGTGAATGCTAGGGTTACAATTAAGATTTGGATAAGTATTCCGTCTGAACCTTTGTTAGATCCAAGTTTCCAAGACCACTCATAATACAGCTTAACAATGCGGCTTGCCCCATTACGAAATGACGCAAGAAATAATTCAATTCTTGTTTATTTGTGTTTTTCCTTTGAAAAAGAAGATGGAAATCAAGTATGCCTTATCGCAAGTGTTGCCTGAGCGAAGGACGTACTTCAGACGATTAGACAACCTGTAGTAAATTGGCAGAAGAAAAGTTTGACCAGAATGCAGCGGAAAGAAGCTAGAGGTAAACGACTGAGCAACGATCGTAACGGCGAATTCGGATGCACCTTGCTAGGGCGATGAAAAGTGCCGATATCTCCCGCAGCTGCTTTCGCTGGGGGAAATAGTCAAGAACTTGCTGCGATGTGGAAATGCTGCATCGACCCGGTTGATCGATCTTTGAAATATGCTTAATTAACGAGGGGAGGGGAGGGAATGGGACGAGGCCCGGCTGAATAGTATGCAAAAGAAAGACGTAGAGAATGCCAAGGGGAATATATAACGCAACCGACTCAATTATTTCGAACAACCGACGGATTAATAAGTGAGATCGGATTGACTTTATTCAGTTCTTCTATACAGTACACGAATCTACTTAGTAACTGCAACATAATAGAATGAAACACAGGTTGAGCACTCTATTTTATTTGCCAGCAGAAGGCCAATCAAAACGAGGTTGAGCCGCACACTCGGGTGTCATCTGCTAGAAACATGTAGTACTAGCAGCAGCAGCAGTCTACGGCTGAGTTTTTCTCAGACGTTTTTTAAAACTTCTAAGACCAACGTATTCCTGTTTCGTATCCCCTCCACGCACCGATCGTCAGGTGCCAGTCACTGCAATCACCGGAAATACAGGAACGAACAACGCAGAAGTAAACCACTAATGTAGAAAGAGAAATAGGTGAGATGACAGTAACCGTAGGCGTCATATCGATAATGATGAAGACGATCCCGTGCTTCTATATATTGTACCGCGCAATTCTTACATAAATATATTACTCATTGAACTGTGTTAATATGATTAATTTCAGTTGACCGATGATTGATTAGGGATGCGGGAAATTTCTATTTTATACAATAGGGATAATATTAATAAAGAGCGAATATTATTATTTGTTATTGCAAAAATCAGACAGTAAAGTAAAAGCGAGAGAAAGGATGGCATGGATCAACCGTAAACCAGTATTATATTGCAGTATAATAATGATTATCGATTATTAGTATTATTATCGTTATTGCCATTATATGAAGAGCACATGAACGAAAATCAGAATAGTAGAAGAAATTATTAATTAAATTAAAACCGAGAGAGAAAAAGAGAAAGGTTTATAATGGCTATCGCTACCGCTGATAATAATAGTAATAACAGTACTGATGATGGAAACAGAGACCGAGGATTCAGATGATGGCGATGCTAACAAATGCTGCTGATGATGATGAGAAAACGAGAGACAGAAAGAGAATAAAGGTAATGACCGAAAAAATCAAGAATGACAAAATAATAACCGAATTAAATCAAGAAGCGAAAGAGGGACATGAATGCCTCGGGGTGGTGCGACACATATTGCGCACAACAATGCTCAATTCTCTGTAAAATAGAAAGAAGGTGTTACGGTAATAAACAAAAGCAAAAGGCGAAAGATAAAAAACTAAGCAGAAAGTAATTATGACGACGGCGATAACCGTAGTGGTAATAACGATGTGTACGGAAAAATGGGGCCGATAAAAAGTAGAATATCGAAGTGGGCCGGACAGGCAAAGCAGACCGAAGCGTGAGTAGCAGCGAGGAGGTCGCCCAGTAGAAACATCTGCTGGAGTTGCAGAAACGGAAGACGAAACGAAAAAATAGCATGCAGAGGGCAGACGGGATAAATGAACAGAAGTCGTGACAGATCCACGGGGCCAAATTCAGAAGAACAAAAATGGTATCGAATGCAACAGCGGCTCATCAACAGCGACACATTTCTTCGACGGCCATAACCGAGCTTTCACGACGGCCAACGTAATCACCACCTCCACAAAAACCCAACAAACATTGTCCCATTCGGTCATTTTCTTCATCGTTTACATCTCGCATACCCTCATACTTTGATTCTCGTTCTTCGACATATGCACTACGGACACCTCACATTTTCATACCATTAGTATCATACACATATATATTGTATTCGAGTTGTATTTCAATCGAGGACTGGTATCAACATTAACGAATGAACAAACGTTACTCTACACACATTTACAGAAAATGCTCACGAACGTAACAGATCAGATGTGGTACGATGCATTGAACAAACGTTTCGTCGAAACATAGACAAACGCGACGTAACCTATGATGGGAATAAGACGTTATACACTTCTTTTGCATAAAATGTACTTTATATGCCAACACTGTGTCTGTCTGATTGAGACAGCGAACAAGGTGAAAAATGGAAAATGTGGTCTTCTTGATTATACAGAGCTAACTTTTGTATTACTGGCGAGTCTAAACACTGGCGATTTTTACTGATAATCGGCGTTAAACCATCAGATACTGTGTAGCCCATATAGTATAACCTGCATAGCCTAATTCAGTGGCATCAATCAGAAAAAAAGGAACACGCTTCTAAGTCTAGAACCGAAATGACAACACAGGCAAATCGAAGTGATAAGCAGTACGTTAACAATATCTAAACGGACCTGCTGACAACTATGATGATCATCGAGCTTGTTCATTTAGTCAGAAGTTTAGCGACAAACCTAGTAATGACCCATGTAACCCACTTGTGAGTGGAGCGATAGGCCTCACTGCAATATATTCTTTTTCGTAGATTGCATATGTAGATTACAATTACTAACAAATGAGTGTTATAATAGACGTCTTCGCGTCGTGTTTAAAAAGCACACATAGATCACCCATAGAGGTAGGTACGTATAAGTAGCAAACGAGACAGATCTACCAAAATCACTGAAAACCATAAAAGCAAATGAGCGATAACATTTAGGCCTAATATGAACGAAAAACCAGGGGTGTCCCTGATAACGACATTGAACAAACTGGATTCAGCTCGAGGAAAGCACGAGCGTGGATATCATTGCAGATTTTCAAATATCACAAAATTAATACTTTCCCATGAATAAATAATAGCAGAAAGTCATTCGGCGATTAATATGACTGGAATAGGTCAAGCTCAAACGCGTGCTTAGTTGAAAGCAAGAACTATTATACTTTAGTCGAGCGATGAACAGATAGTAAACCTACGACAGGTAGGGAAATTGAATTAAATAAAAAAAAGGCATTGCAATCAATAAAATAGATGAGACATTTCCGACAAGCAAATTGACATTAGAGAATACAAGGGTTTGAATGTCGAAAAATGAAAAGACGCTTCGTTGCATCAGCATTCAAAGTGAGTAAAACCCGCGAGATCCACGGGATGAGGAACCCCTATCTACATAAACTATCTATACATGTATACATTGTGGCAGAGCCCTCCCACAATGCGAAATAAGCACCTTATTCGAGAAGGAATGAACACAAACTGAGAACTTTTCAATCCCATCGTTGAATCATTTGCCGATAAACCCGCGATTGCTTAATAGAACTCGCTAAACACACTGGATAACGAAATAAATTTATACAGACGGAAAAACGTAAATCGAACACGTGAGTTAAGGACACAGGGCCACATGGATCGATTGATACGGCATTTATATTAATCGCCCTTTTATTAGAATGTTATGAAACACATGACAGAATACTATGACTATGATTCGCATGTTTCACATAATTATTTGAGGTTAGCTGGGCATCAGCAACAGCTGACTAGACCACGAGTAACATCCGATCGCCCACGCCCTTACCTATTGACCAACTACTGGACCCGCCGTGAACTAGGAATAACGAAGTAAATGCTGGATAACTTAATCGGATATCAGAAGAGAGCTGGAAACGACAAAAGCTATTAAAATTGGTTAGGTTAAAGCCAGATAGTAAAATCACGACTACCCCACCGCAAAATCGATAGGCATGACTTGGTTTTTAAGAAGGACCATTCTTTCTTCAGGCACAGATAGAACTATATAATCTAGTTCTGATTACACATACCAGACGAATATATGCATCCACTATGTTGACAAGCTTTTAGCGGACGATGTGGCGCGTGGGGACCAAACCGGCACGCGCTACCATCGCTTGTTCTTGAACTACGCTACTACGGTACTGCAGTCGACCATACATCTTGTCTATTGGTCGTAATGCACTTCAGTGGATTGCGTTCGGCGTTATGATGCCTACGAGCTATGTAAGCCAATCAATTTCTAGCTCGTTCACACATACTGCCGATTGATTTTTCCGACTATTGGGTCTATGCCATACACATTGTCCACCTAGGCATAACCGAAGCAACTAGTCGCATATTACTAACTAGTATAACCACAAGCAATACGGTAATCTTTCTCTTTGATTTAGGAAAAAAAGTAAGGATGAAAGACAAAACCTCAAGCCCAGCTAAAGGCCGATAACTCAAGATCTAGCCGTAAGTTCCGTAGGTTTTTCAATAGACGCAAGCTATATATAATCTTTCCCTTGGCTGAGTTGTCTTCAATTCGGAGATTACGCATGTTGACTAATGCGATCGGCTTGTCTGTGCTTGTTTCCTCGACAGTGCCCCGTACAACACAAGAAACACTCACTTAGGGACCTTAAACGGTTGAACCTTTGTTCCAGAACGCTCTTTATGATAGTCAAAGCCTTTCTAATGATGTACGTGCCACAATACAATATATTACAACATATATAACACACTTGACATATGCACACTCTTCACTTCAAAGGCATACAAACAACAAAAAAGCTACTGCCAAATTTTGTTATGATGATTCATATAATTCTACTACATTATAACTCCAACCATTATAGTATCAGTGTTATATGATTATTATCGATAACGTAGGCGACTGATTGACTGATTGAATGCAACTATTGAAAATACCAATAGAAAATCACAGATTCCATCTTAACGATGGCGCCGGAGGAATAATCATAACGATTCCTCCTAGAATGACTGATAGGAAAGATTAACAGTAGACTGAAAGAACGTACACTGCGAATCATGCTTATGATGGTTCCACAATGGATGACAACATTATAGAAGAAATACCTGAATGATGATAAAACAACCAAAAACAAGACAAATTGTACTGAGGATGATAATGTACCAATGTCTTCGATTACGGAAAAAGGGAGCCTGTTCCGTGCCTGCTCCACTCAGCTCTCCACGTCCGTCCTATGCCTCCGACTACGGCACGTAGCGGCAGATCACTCTCGATTCGGGTTCAGTGAGCGGTTCGTGGGCGAACGTGCCGCGTCGCAAGGGTTTCAAAGTTGATCGGGTAGTAGGCACTTTAACATGTCCTTAGATGGGGTCTACACCAGTGTGCATACGGCTAGGAGTATTGTAGAGAAGATATTCGATGTCCAAATGCTTGACAAAATCATAAACGAAAATGGACTGGGAGAGAGAGTGAGCTCGAAATTTTCAGGCCATGACGCCGTAAAAAAGCGCCGGTAAGCCCCTGAAAGGCCGGCCTGTGGTGGCCTTTAGAAATACATTATCGAACTCTTCATGACTGTTCTCATCACGCTCTGCGCTGCAATGGAGCAACGCTATTGAAAGTACTCAATGGTTAAACACCACTGAAGCTCCTCTCAGGGTGCCCTTGTACCACAAACCGCCATACAATTATTACTATTATTACATAGAAGCGTCAAAGCGATGATACGAATATCGGTGTTAATAAAAGCGGAATAACAGATGACACAAATGAACAGTATTTCAATACACAACAGCAATAACGAGCTAACGACGTCGCGTCAATGAAGGAAGATCAATTGAATTGTCCAACAATATTCAACAAATAATGGAGTGAAGACAAAATGATTATATATATATAAAAAGGACGAGAGAGAAAAATAACATTGAGAGGCAAACACTAACGGACACAGCGAATGCCAGGTGGAAACTGAGAGGGAAACGACAATGGAAAACATCTAAATGAATTGTATAAATTATTGTATTTGTGATATATTGTAAATAAACGCAACGACAGTAACGAATACAAAAGCAGTATTGGAACTTATTTCGGCAACCGAAGTTTGCAATATTATTGTTTACTTAATACTTCTAGTAATCAATCAGACCGCAGAAACACAACAAATCTAAAAGTACACCTAAAATATAAACTTTCTTAAAATTTTAGAAAGAACATTTTCCGCTTTATTTGTTACAAGAAGAAATGAAGATGTGCAGCTTCTTATAGGTTTAGGTTTTAAATTTTTATTTAGATGAAAAAGCGGTAATAGTTACACTATGAACTAACCTACGAATAGTGTTCGTACAGTTTACTTTGTAAGCATCACCATTTTTGCAATTCAGAAAATACATAGTGGGGGCGGTACACGGGCAAAGGTTCATTTAACACGACTGTTGAGAACGATCAGTATTAGGCAGAGAGAAGTGAGATTTGTGTATTCGTTAAAGACGCCTATATTTAGTGGTTTGGAAACACAACAATATTTCATTAATTTTCTAGAAAATATCCCCGGGTTAGATAGGCTAGACGTAAGGCTATACGGGATACTAATCGTGTCGTGCAAAAAAAAGCTCGAACGAAGTTGCGTCGTTCGAAAAGGGGCTGTGGTTTTGGCTAGAGAAAATTATGCCCCCTACGACAATGTTCTCGACCAATTCATGCCGGCCTATACACACAATCGGTTTTCATCAACTTCCCGCTCAATAAATTACCGTTTTTCCTTAAAAATATTTAGCTATGTATCTGGAGCTGTCGCCGTTCTCCATAACAAACAAGATATAGTTTCAGTGTTAGGTCATTATACAATATTTATTTAATGAATCCTTGTACTGAATAATTCGTTCATACATTGTTCTGCATCGCAAACAACAGCGCGGTTTACTCTAATTGACAGGATAACTTTTTAGTGCGTGGTTCAGTTACTATACAAACAAGCGAAGCATCGTTATTAATATTTTTTTGCTATAATTTTCGAGACCGAAGAGGACGGAATCATGATGTACATCAAGACTTGTTTGCATCATTGAATGGACGGGTGGTAATATATGGCTATCCTGCTAGTCGCCGTATATAATAGTAAAATGCAATCATATGTAAAGTTATCCGCATGGTTTTACATTGGTTTGGGAGTTGTCATTTATCAAATGCGCCCTGCACGGTGTAATGTTGGCCTGTCGATAGGACAACACTGAACTTGTATAATGTTTGTTATTATCGTTACTGGTGGAGTTGGTGCACCAGAATAGAAAATGCTATTCCATAGAAGGCAGTATTGGACTGGTGATAAGAATAAAAGCTTTACACTGTATGAGTTCTCCAGCTTTTTTGGTGATTGCATCTATGAGGCTAATTTACCCCCTCAACACGAACCGCTCATAAGCCTATGAGCCAACCCTGTACATGTGGTCATTTGTGTATAGTTAACAGAGTGCTAGTTACCATGAACAAATTATCCGCCCACCGCCTTCTCGCTAGATGATTTGTACTGGAAGTTACATAGATATATGGTATGTACTGTTGTGAATTATGATATTACATTCGGTATCCGCCTTTTCTACCGCCACAGCTGCTTTACTATTGTACACTCGTAATGGACCTCTGTTTTTGTCTATAGACTCACTCGAAAAGAAGCATACTTCGATGTTGACCTGACACCGGCTTCACGTAACGAAGACGTTCCAGTTTCAGAAAACTCTTGGGCAAATAACCTTTAAGGGAGGACTTGCCGTATTTATAATAATCAGCCTTTAGTGGAGCGAGTCTTGCTAGTGGATTATTCGGCAGGCTTATAAGCGTGCGGCTCAGAACTTTTCCATCGGGGTCCGTCGTTTCGGTTTCATCTTCCCGCGCCTGGTTATTTTTCTTCGACTGAAGGGATTTATGTACGTGGTACACGAATGGCACATGAAGTCGCGTAGTGCCTCTGGCATATCCATGGGTCGCGGCATCGGAATCGATCTCAGGAGCAGGCACCTGTAATCCCTCCGCCCCCCGAAACAGCGAATAAGCCAAAAATTCGTACTAATGATGACGTACTGATTCAGCTAGGATTAATATTCAATTGCAGTTGCATGGATTCGTCGATTTCCTAGTTAGCTGTTTAGAACGAGAGGAAAAAACTCTTCTTTATATTGAAAGCCAATGTATTTCCTTATGGTTTTATCGACTCACCTCATTATGGCTTACTCTCTGACACTGACCCTTTTGCCTGATTAGACGATAAGTTACTTACTTCATTTCCCTACGATAGGACCCATTCGAATAACATGCTTGCCACTCTAGCTAATATGGGTACCAAAACCGACATTGCGTAAACATATCAGTTAGTTCTATTCTAGCATAGAGCAAGCTTGATCTACCTTCCAAGCACAATTGTATTATCAATGCGCCACACATGGTATACACAATATATTTATCGACAGCCCTTCCTCATCGACCTTGTCATCTTCTAAGATCTGAAATGTCACTCGACAATTAGTGGCGCATGCGCTCCATACATCTGTCGTTCATACAGACGCTCGCAGGGGTGATCGTCGCCTTGTCGTTCATGCACGTCGGTTAACTTGTTTTTTTTTCAACCATTTGTTTAGTATTAGTTGGCTTTTTATCATAGTAATGTTAGGCTTCTTACAGTTCTCATGGTGACTGTCAGAATATGCGGCGCTGAGGCTAACGTGACTCAATCCTGATTCTGTTGTCTTTTTCAAATATCTCAGACCTTTGTTCCTCTACGAAAGTAGCTCTTTCTATGAGCTGGACTATGTCTTTCTTCGACGACAGCAGAAGCTGAGCCGAACTCGTTTGCTGATTTTAGGATTCAATCGACGTTCATTTAGTCAGGAAGACTAGTTGTAGGCAAAAATGCTGTTTTGACATAAACCTCAATACGGAGCTATAGACAATAGGATTACATGAAATCATTCAACTATTATTTATCTGGTTCGCTCGAGTTTGTCACATGTAACATGGCTGATACAAGAGACACGATGGGTTCATCTGTCGCATTTTAATCTTCTAATAGATGGCCTCATTATTTGCTGATGATAGAGCTCCCGTATAATAAGTACAGAGATCGTCTGATATTTTACTTTTACTAATTTAAATGCGGTTATACTACAAGATGGCATCTAGATGTTGTGGGACAGCAGAATCTTTGGCGAGGCATCATTCCCTGCTTTGGTGCAGTTTGTTTTAGGGTCGGTCAGCATCATTATCCCTGCTCGCCCACCCCCCCAACCAGTATAACTAGATAGATACTAATTTAGAATGTATGTTCTAATTGTTTCCCTAGACAGAAAGTTATCTGCTGTTAGTTAAACATTGCGCTTAGTACAATAGAAATGTATAAACGTACGCGAAATGGACGCATAACAAAACATCTATCTTGAACAGTTTGCCATCTCACGTTTCGTCTAGGCCAAAACCGATTTGGACAGATTAAAATCAGCATTTTAGACCTAAAAACGGGTCTCATCTGGTCCATCGTTCGAAAAAGGGTACACCATTACGTAAGCACAACACTAGCTGAGGGAACTGCTTATGGAGCGACTGTCTTGCATCTTCACTGGATAAGCCCCATGTAAAGATTCATAAGATAAGGACTATTGTTAATCTATTTGAAAGACAATTTAGTTTAAAAGTCCTGGTCGAGGCTCAATATCTTATTAAGCAACTTCGCAAAGGTAGTTTAGGTTGTCATGTCAGGTATGCTGTCTCTAGTTTCGGCTTTGGGCAAATAAATAAGTGCTTCATATGGCCAGCTTCGAAGAATGAGCTCGGCCTATGATTTGACCCATTCCAGCCAACACAATAACGTGACGCTTATTGAAATAGGAAGGAACTAGTGTATACTATGAAAAATCGTCCAGAAGACCATAATGCAGGAAAGCGCTTGGTGACACCGCGACTGTTTACATTCCCATCTAATTATATTGGCCAATTTAATGTGAATATATGTCATATTGTATTATCAATGCGCCACACATGGTATACACAATATATTTATCGACAGCCCTTCCTCATCGACCTTGTCATCTTCTAAGATCTGAAATGTCACTCGACAATTAGTGACGAATCTATTTTGCAGCTTGAAAAACAAGCATGGGTATTCGTTTGACCTTTTAGCGAATTTTCTGTATTACACCAATGCTATGGGTCTCTTATGATATTAAACATTCACAATAAGGTACATAGCAACCTTGATGATTTGCAGCTAGCAGAAACGCTAGCTTTGGCGCTGGATCTGTTTCCATGACCCTCACAGTATAATGCTTGCCAGTTATAACTTTCCAGTTGCTATGGTTCTGATTTCGAATTAAATTCCTATAAACAATTCATTTGACCTCTAACAAAAAAGCGAAGTGTCTTGGCCAAGTGACACGATAGCAGTGAACCATCCCAACAGTCTTGTGGTAAGAGTCGCTTTCTTCGTTCAGTAAACGCAGGTATTTTGTTTTTTTTTACGTAACTACTGACGCGCTAACGAGTGCACCTAAGTCATGGGTCTTGACCTTTACCATTAAGAAGTCCTTTATAACTTTAGACCCCGTCAATTATCTATAATTCTACTATGACGATGATCATTGTGCGCGGGGACAGGCCGTAGCTGCAACGGAAGCCGGACCTTCAAGACGATGTGTCTCGTCATGACCGTAACTGCGTTACAATCTATGATACGCAACTTTCATCAACATCAAATCAATGTTAGCAGGTACACCTAAATGATAGTTGTCCATAGATTTTTCTAACTTCGGAATCGGTTCGAGTGGATCAGAAGTTGACCGAAAAAGTCTGCTCAACTTGCAAAATGTACAAATACGTTCCGAAAAAAGGTTACTATGATTAATAAAAACACTATACTTTAAATCCTTCATGTCAACGCTCGTATAAAGTCGTTCGTCAAAAATCTTCTAGTCAAAAGTTATCACTGTACAAAATCACCAACGTTCGACATCGTATATTAATGAGCATATAAGAAACTAAATTCTCTTAACCCACCAACGAAACCGATACGCTCATTTAGTGTGCATTGTAAACGATCTGTGTTTTTTTTTGACCAGTTTAGAAAAAGTTACAAGTTAATAATTTTGGTCGCGATGTCGGTTCACACCGATATTTTGCTCACCTGCATTAAAATCATCGGCGCTTGAGGCATCGTGATGTTTGCGGTTGTATGATTCACTGTCATAGCAAGACGTGGAATAGCTGTAACGTTACTTTGAGCAGATCGTGATAGAGATGCAGTGGCCGTAACATCTTCATCATCGTCATCAAGATCAATCTTATGAGCTCCTTCTGTTGCTGTTGTAGATTTGGAGGCTATAGCTATCTTTCCCAGGACATCATCGCGGTCGTCTTTCGTTTGCAGTCGACTTTCAATCGCCGGGGGATCACATTCGTGAAGTCCGCGGGTGCGGTTGCATTCAACATCATGAGCGTGTTCGAGAGGGTAATTGATCGGCTGAAGCATGATCGTTCGTCCCGTGCCGACAACCGCAGGAGTATTTTTGCTGAAGTTCGAAATCATGGTTGTTATGGGAACTGCTGGCGCGGTTCTTGCTGCATCGCTGCCATCCGACTCGTTTGGAGTGTTAAGCGACGAAAATACAAGCACTTGCTCATCAACAATCTGGGGCGGCATCGAAAGCAGCTCAGAAGGAGGCGTCGGTACTAGTAATGGCGGTTGGACGGTCTGACCTTTATATTTGATCGTCTCTACAGATGGATCGATTATCATTTTGTCATTTTTTGCAGTAAGTTCAACCAGCGGAGCTTCGACTGTCTTGCTGTCGTCGACTGGCGGCTCGTCTAAAAACGAGGGCGGGTTCTTGTTTTCCAGCACGTTATTAAAGTCGTTCTTCGGTATTCGCTGGTCGGCAGCTACGTCACGCTTGTTTCCCAATGCCATGACAACTTCCAGCGGTAATGGGGCATACCTCGCACCGCCAACGGCAAGAATAATCTTTGACTGGGTGTTTACCTGCGGATATTTTGGGTAGAGGCTGAAGTGCTGCAGAGTACCTTTGTTCAACGAGGAGGGTACCAACGTTCGAAGCTGCTGACTAGGCTCAGCTGTTCTGAGCGGAAAACTCGGAGCAACAGTCGGTATTGAGTGCGATACGTCGCTTAACGTAGAAGTTGTCGTGGTCATTGTCGGCAACATTGTAAGGCTAGCGGGCTTAAGTTGAACTCTGGATGCATCTGTCTGAGCTTTGGGAGCGACGGTGGTCGATCCTGATTGGAGCTGGGATGCGCGAGGCGATAACAGAAGATCTCGAGAGAAACCTGTCGCTTCAGCATAGGAGTTAGGATCGTGGTCTGCTTCGGCAGAGATTCGTTTATTCAAGGGATCAACATTCATCCAGGGCGGTTCAGTGAAGCCATTTTGTGGAAGTCGTTCTGGAGTTTTGGCTCTCTTCGGCAAAACTACATCGGTTTCGTGTGCATTCTGTTGTGGCAATGGGGTGCTGCGCTCGAACTTTTCGAAAGAAGTACGCCGACTTGATCGAGTGGACGCTGGTGGTGGAAATAGCGTTGATGAGTCCGAAGCAAAATTACTCTGTTTATATGTGCTCTCCGTAAAAGAAGCCGTCGTGCTAGTTTCACTATCTTTTGGAATTATTCCTGGTCGTTCCGTAATGCCGTAAGGGGACAATGCACTTCCATCGGAGCTATACGCTGAGCTACGCGTTGTCGTTTCTTCAAAATAGCTCTGCTCCTCCGCGATCAAACGTGGAATATCGACATTTCCCACTGGCGGCACTCCGGTGTGCGAGTACTCAGTGAGAGTCCGTTGAGTCTGGGGTGTCATGCCAGCAACGATGTAACTTGGAGCCGTATTTCTACTTTCATTGCCTATTCCGGTGAACTTCGGCTTCTTGCGGCGTCGCTTGCGCTTCGTACAATTTTTATGTTGTCCAGCAACCTCCATATACATCGTATTGAGAGGATTGCTGAAGTCACCGTCCACCAGTTCGCGGAGCAATTCTGGCGGTGATAGAGGGGTATCACGTTTTTCTACATTGAGATGTTCTTTCTTCCTTTCAGCGGGTCGATCTGTGGCGCTTGGCGGCTTGCCATCGCCGTTATGGTTTTCTGCATCGAGCAGAGATCGCACTTTCTCAGTTTGAATAGCATCGAGCAGCGCCAATGATAGGGCAGAGGTATCCCGACTTTGTCCTAGGTAATGGTCAACTACACCCTGAATAATATCACCCACGCGACTTTCTTGCGCAGTTAGTCCATAGTCTGCTACGGCTGAATCTACCGGCAAACACAGGATAATAATGGCCAATGAGGCCAAAAGCGATAAACACCGCATTCCTTTTACGGACACTACCACACCCAGCTCACCATAGAGGACAAGTTCTTGACCCACAAAGTTCCTCAACGTGTGTTCTTTCAGCTTGAAGTCATCACGCTCGATCAGCACATGCTCACAACATAGGCAAATTTACCAGCAAAGATGTCGTTACTGTGGAACGAGTCAAAAGTATTCAATGAAAAACTTGCTAGGCGTCGCTGGTCCGTACTCCTGGTTTTACGTGGTAAGCCTGGATACAGAATCAAACCTTTCTAGATAAACTTTCAAGTTACGATTACAAGTTTAGGAGAATACCACTGATTAAAATTTCATTTACGTGGCGCAAACCCAAACTTATCCTACGACTTCTTTCGTCGAACTGCGGCGTTTGTAGGAAGATGCGCGAAGATGAAGCCCCTCTGTCCTTGAGCCTTTCCTAACCCATTGGGTGAGGGCAGATGAGAAGGAAGATCACAGAAAGGCGGTTGACGGATGACAGGCACTGTCGTCTCTGCAGCTGCTATGATAACTGGTACTTTACAGCTGAGAAAAACGGGATCCACCAGTAGCGGGAAGCTAACGATGGTCAGCGGTACCAGATGAAGCGACACATGCGTCAAGGTGCTTGTAAACAATAAAGAAATGCCCGGATACGGGCTACGCGATATTTCAATCAACGCGATATCTGATTGCTACGGAACGGGAGGTCTTATCCCGTGTAATAGTTTAATAAGCGACAGTCCAGCACATTTGTCATGCTCATTTCATAGTCGTTTTTCCACTAGTTTAACATTAAAAAGCAATGAACATAGTCGTGTAACAATATTGTATGATTCACGTGACAATACGCACAAAAGTGAAATAATTGAAATTTGGCCCCCCTGAGTACCACTACGCTGGTCGATAATTGCCCCACTGGGAAAATAACTTGAGGGGAAAATATTCACTTAGCTAAGAGAACATTTTGATTTTCGTGAACATTGGCAAGACATGAGTAAAAATCATTGTACTAATCCAAATCACGCTAATTTACATTGGCATTCCACTAGAAGACGTCGTTTAAGAGTATGTTGATAGTATTCATATTAACTACTTTCGATTTGCCTACGCAGGTTCACCAGTAGCAATTTCCGCAGAACAGTTAACAGTCATACAATACGCACAAAACCCAATCGGCTTATGTCTCCCACAAGCTGACGAAGCGACGGCCTCTGTCATCGGCCACCCGCATTAAGTTAAACCGCTATTGGTGACGGTAGCGTGATTTGTAGTTGTTTGCCCGCCATGTTTGCTGGTATTATCATTGGGCTAGCAGCAGCCGGACAGCCATTTGAATGGACGTTTATCGTCAGCGATTCGGACGCACAGCACAGAGCCATCCACTAATACAGAAGTAAATATACAAGCGATTCACGTATCAGACAGGATGTGGCAGGGTGAATGTGCAGCCACTGAATATTTGGTCGCAAAGGGAAGGGGCGCTCGATTTAGGGTAGCAGCCAGCTGCCAAGCTTGGCACCGAGTTCCAACAGTAGCGCTAGCTTTACTCACCCTCGTTATTGCTGTTAGACGTTCAGCACTAACGAAGCGCGAACGTCATCAACTTCGTCACCATAGACAATATCCGTCCAAATAGCACAAGACCTCAAGCAAGTTATCTCAGGCCTAAAACCAGGGAACAGAGGGTGCTACGGAGGGAAATCTATTAAAGATAAACATATGCTAGTATCCCTGTAGTTGATAGGAAGGGGGAGCTCGAAGCTTGGCCGCGAATTAGCATAGCATAAGCCATTTTTCGTGGCAGGTTCGTTAAACAGGCTTCTACAGAAATAAATCGTATCATTTCAAGCCCTGCAAAGAGAGCGACACCAGCTTTAACGACGAAGCCCATCGATAAACGCTGACGCCAGTTATGTACTAGCAGTCAAGGGGACTTGGGTGACAGCTTCACTGAGTAGGCGCATGAGAACGAAACAAATTGCTTAGGCTTTTTGGCGTCAAGGTGCAACAAGTTACGGCCCCAGCCTCCCAGTCATATTCACAATGGCTGTTCCCAATGGCCACAAATGCTACAGTACACGATCAAGTTTTCAGGAGCGGGACTATTTGATGGCTGTGACGCTTTGGTGCTATTGACAGCTAGGATTAGCTTTAAGCCATGAATTCTAGAAGAGAATAGAAAACTGAAGCCTTATTCTAATGTCGGGAACAACGGACGTAAAATTGTTCCTTTCCTTGGGCCCGCCTCACTCAACGCGAGAGATAAGAAGTGAGAAGATATGAAGTACTTGGTACACCTTGCAGTGAGGCATTAATTTTATTATATGTTTTTGTGTTTTTCAAGCGATATAAGTTAGCAAAATACATTATAAATAAATATGAGCTTAGGTGCATCAACGAAACATTAACCCTTTCAGTAATGAGTAGATAAACACGAATTTCAGACAGCCGCTAGGAGATTAAGATTATTTATAGAGTGTATTCAAATGCTGAATCCAGGACGTTGCTAGTTCTGGTCCACCAAGGCGCCTCTTAAAATCAGTTTATGCATTATATAATAGAAGTGCATGATATCCGACAACTTCTATTAAATTGGGCTTCTGGAAGGCCATTCTTATGATTTGACTATAGAATATAAACCATTTTCAAAACATGGTCTATAATTCCTTACGCATAGGACGGATACCTCATAATTGTCATCACCCTGTTCAACCATCAAACCTAACCTATATATAATGAACTGAGCCTAGAGTTATGAAAAATCCGCTATAAGCCAAAAATCTATACCAATTTAAAAGAAAAAAAAAATCACAATGATTTGCGATTTTTAAGAAAATGATAGATGCATGAAATATACATGCATAACCGTACAATATAGGGTACTGTTAGTGCTTTTTCTTCGTAAATCTTTTTCTAACAATTTATCAAATAACTACTATTTAAACATGTCGCAAAAATATGGCTTAGTCATAGAATATGTAGAAAACAAAGGGTCTCAATCTGGGAGGTATTTTTTATTCTATTCTTAATCTTATCTTTCTAAAATCTCCGTCGATGGTTCGAACGTTTCCATTATTAATTCTGTCTAGCCAGCGTGGACTTTTGTACTCAGCAATTAAATGTCTCTTATCATTAGTGTTACTTCTCAATTGTCAAATTTGATTTTCCAAAAATACATATATGGGTTGTATCGTTTTGCGTAGTAACGGCTGCACTAAATAAAAGCTATTTTTTTTCCCAAGAATCTTCTTAACCGACAGACTTATCTCACTGTTGATTATTGTTCCATGCACAATTGTTGTGCATACATTTAAACAACTGTTCGCGGTACATTTCTAGATAGGGACGAAACATCCACAAGGATGTGTACATATGCAGGCCAATTACCATTTTTTCTTATTCCATTCATTATAATAGTACATATCGAGCTTTTACAGTCGCAAATATCAAAGCAAACGCTGAACGAAACACCATTTGATTGTTGCCAAACGGCAGACGCGTCGACGTCAGATATCGGATGCCCTGCTATATCTGTCTTAGTATACTGATGCTAATTAACTACAATATGATCATTATCTCCATTATGAAGCAGCTTATTTAGCTTAACTATACATATAGTTAGGATGACCCAATCGTCCCCTACAGCCCCTGTTAACGACGCTCGTCTGACGGCCGCCAATGTCAGGATTTGGATCGTTACAAATCGCTGCTATTACTGATGAGAGCCAGCTTTTTGTCTCGAACCAATCGTTATTAGCCCAGAGATCCTGTGCTTGCGGTCTGCTAACAACCTAGCGACCCTTTTGAGCGTCCTGTTGTCCTTTAGTTTCTTCGACGCACCAGCGTCAAATGAGCGTTCACATCAACATCCGCATCAACAGCAAAAATGCGATGATTTCAGTCCAGTTGTGACCAGTTCATGCCCCCGAACAGTTGCCTATTCTCACAGAGGTCGATTACTGCGGTCGAAAGCTATTAGAGGTCGAAAGCTGCGATCTCCCAATAATATATTTTTGTGTACCTTCTGTAATAGTTACAGATGTTAATGTATAACTCGAAGCGGTTATGCTGTGTTCTTCCTCGAAATACTATGGTATAGCTGCAGTGCATAGATGAAAATGTATGTCGACAGAGATAACGGACCAAAGGCCGAAATACGGTAGGGCCCCAAAAAAAATGTGGTCAGTCAGAACAACAAAAACGCAAGCTTGACAAACGGGAAAACGTCTACGAGTAACACTATCTCTTTCAAGCTGATAGAGATGTTGGCAAAATGACCATTGCTATTCATAGACATTACTCGTATCGTGCTGCACACCCGGTTCATTGTTCAAACTAGAGTGTTATTGTGAAAGTTTTACCATTGTGGTCCGCTATGCATTTGCAGGCATCATGAAAAACTGCTGTACACCTATTGTGCAGCTTCTCATGTTTATTCTACCTTCACTGATCTGTTCCGTTCCGAAGATCTCAGATGCTGGTATTTAATTGCTCACATATAGATAATCGCACTCGCTCAAAATGTTCTAATAGAAGCCAAATGGTTCTAACAATATATTCTTGAATATTCTAATGAAAATTCTGTTGTTGTATCGGTGTATATATATATATATATATATATATATATATTAGTGTATAATAAATATTACGGATTTCGCCTTTATATAATGCCGCTACATTATGTCTAGATTCGACTAGAATACTCCTTGAAGCAGCGAGTCTTACTCGTATTAATTGAATTCCCGTGAAGTACGTTGCATAAGCAAAAAGTTTACCCTTTAGGCATAAGTGGAACTTCCCGACTTGACAGCAAATCCGCCCCTAGTATCAGCAGTCGGATTTCTCCGACCCTCAGTTTAAATTCAGCGATTTTTTTTTACATCATTCAAGTTCTTAGTTTCAGCTTGTCGTACCGTTACGTTCCAACACACTATTCTATTCTGTAATCGTAATAAAGTTCATCTTCGCCGTGTCGCAGTCACTATTACCCATAAGACGGCGTCAGCTTTGAGAGGTTTCAATGCTTTACAAAAGAAACTAGGCCTCTTTGCTATATCGAATCCTAAATGACTGAAGCGTATATCAGCTTAACAGTGGCGTGACATTATCGAAAGAACCTCGATTAAGAAGACTTTGAAATACGCCAAGGTCCAGAACTATACGAGCTCCTTTAATGTCAAGAGTACCTTAGCGTCAGACGATCATTTTCAACTTTCCGTGGTAATAGCCTGCCAAAACTTTCTAGATATTTTTCCAAATAACGAACATCAGTATATTAGATAGTGTAAAAACAACTTAATGGAATATTTGTCGCCGCGATAGCTGGAGGCCCCCTG